CTGATATGAAAGGATTGTAATGTACTCATCAATTATTTATATACATTTATATTATATCCATCCATCCTTCATCCAACCATCTCGATCTCGTCTGCGGAGATAAAGTTAGAATAAACGGCCTACCTTTATTCCGCTGCATTAGTTTTCTATATTTTAAGAATTATTAAGTATAGATAACTAAACATTGTATATTTTAACGTGTGAGACCCGTAAATTTTATTGAAGTAAGCCATCAAATTATATTTATGTTACTTAGTCATGTTAAGTAATGCAGGCGTAATTTTATGCTTGGTATAAAATTATTCCTGACGAATCCAGAATACGGTTTTCTGAACCTTTTTACCTTCTCCCTATATTAGTTAATGAATATCGTGTTTTTTTGCTAAACAAAAAGCAAAAGTAGAAACTAATGTAAGTATCAAACGTAACAATAGAATTCAGGCGACATACAGGCCATAAAGTACTAAAGTTTGTCCTAGTTTACTTAATTTCTGGGTAAATAATTAATTATTTAAAACCAATGACAAAAATCAAACGCCTGATGAATACCACTACCAAACTCCTACAAAGATCAGAGTTGTCTCTGAACATATTGAATCGGCCAGTTTCAATGTTGCAAAACCACGACATAAAGTGCACTATCAAAAATATAATATGACGACGTTTCTTGTTTGAATTAGACTTATTATTAATAAGAAAATTTCATGTTTCACATACCTATTAACTGGTTAATTTATGTACAAAAGACATGAAAAATCTATAAGGTTAATATTTGGATTAATCTTATTTTAAAAGAAGAAGAGAAAGTTATGAATTTTCCTAATTCTGTCAAATCTACTCTATAAGTAATGTTTACTCATACAATTATATAGAAACCTTGTTCCTTATCTTCATGACACTGCCAATACTGTTTTATGAATGTTATGATAAAATCTTAATCGTGAAAATTGATGTTTTGTGATAATTATTTGCTTATTAATAGTATAAACTATTAATGATTCGAGCATAAGCTCGAAAAAGTATGTAGCAGTTAATACATTTAAAAAATTATAACAGTTGTGATTTTTAATTACAAGTATTTATTTCACATTTTATTGTGTATTTATTGCCTATAACAACTAACAGGGTTTACTTAAATCATTCGTAAAACGTAATAGAAATACAATACACCTTAAAAACTAACAAAGCGTGTATAACAAATAACTAAAATATAACAATAACAATAAAGTAGACTAAAATATAAAATAGGAAAAAGAAATCAAGTTTAGTTGGGGGGAAATTTTTTTTTTAAAAAAAAAAAAAAAATAATTTTAATTTTTTTTTTAAAAAAAAAAAACAATAAACAAAGATAATTTAAAAAAGATTGAAAAATTTAACATGCTAGTTTAATTTTGTAAGCTTAGAAGACAACGCCGAAACTGCAACAAGGACCCCAGGAAAGCGGACAATATAAATCTAGGATACGGGTCGCTAACGAGAGTGTGTATGCCACCCCTTCTGAGATTTCTCGGAATGTAGATTGCTCCAAAAAGAACTCTGATGGTCACGAGCGTCTACAGCAATTTTTAGATAGCCTGCCGAAGATGCCATCGTCTACTGTCGAGCAAACTCATCCAGACAATACCTAGAACCAGTATTTCATACCATGGCACAATTATACAAAGAATACGTCAGTAAATGCGAATCAGATTCCTTAAAATGTCTTAGTCGTAGGGTTTTTGACAATGTATTCTTAAAACAGAATCTTAGTCTGTTTCATCCCAAAAAAGATCAATGCGTGTATGCTTGGTCATAAAGTTGGAAATATAAACGATACTGAAATTGCAATACATCGCGATAGGAAAGACAAAGCTAGAAAAGAAAAAGACACTGACAAAAAATTGGCAATAGGAGGAAAACGTGTCATGTATTTACGCAAGATGTTCAATCAGTAAAATTAGCTCCCTACTTTCAGGCTAGTGCCATATACTACAAGACATTTTATCTGTTCACAATTTTACCATGTACAATTTGTCAACACGTGAAGCTTGCTGCTACTGGTTCGATGAATAAAATGGCTCCCTTGAAGCTTCCGTTTTCGCATCGTGCATTGTGGATCAACTACAGATAATTTTAAATAGAAAATTACTACCGGTAATATTGTAAATTTCAATTTCAGTAAGGATTTAATTTACAAAACCATTCGTCCGGGCAGAAAATCCGGAGATCCCACTATTACCGATTTAAGGGTATTAAAATATAAACCAGATGGAACTATTTGGTATAGCTTAAACTTTGACGAACCTTTGCAGCCGTTGCCTCAGCGTCCAATGAAAATTACCAATGTAAAACCTTTAGAAGAGCTGCCGAAATTATTTTCTGAAAGACTGCTAATTTCCCAAAGAAAATATAAGGATCTCCAAGATTTAAAGGCAGTGATACCTTCGAACTGCCACGCATATTATGATGAGTTACCTTATAAAAATTAAATATTTTTCATTATTAGTCCATAAACATTTTATATTATTTTTAGAGTAGGTTAAGTATTCGAAGTGTTTTTATTGTCTTGTATTGTTTGTGTTAAATGTACCATTTTTATTAAAGTTTTTGAGAGTTTAGAATTATTAGAAGTCATGGAAAAATTACCTAAATTACAAAGCAAACCTCTGGTTTCCATTGTAACTTAGATAATTTTATTGATCTCAGTAGGTAAGTAGTTGATCTCGTCAAACAGTACAGTCGTAAAAGTCAGTGAGTTCCTATAATATATTATAATATTAGCGAACCCGGCAAGGGTTGTCCTGTTGGAATAAGAAAATAAAACGGCAAAGAAATGTGTTTTTTTTTTGATAAAAACTAATTAAGCAATCCTTTTTTATTTTATTGAAGTTAATAATTAGTTTTATAAAACTGTTTTTGAAAAATGTTTTTATTTCGATAGTTTTTCATAGAAAGATTTTCTATGAAAGACTTATAGAGCTTAAAAATAAAAGGTAAAAACACCGCGTAAGTCTTTATTTTGTTAGAGTAAAACTGCTCAAGTCTTGCAATCACCTAATAAGACGATATTTCTTTTATTTGTTTTTATAGTTATCATGCTTAACTAAATACAATATATTAAAAATTTTATCATGCATGTATTGTACAAAATGTTAAAGTAATACGTTTTTTGTCTCTCCTGAAAACTAAGCAAATCTGACCTAGCTTTGCGGAATATGATAAGTAGATTGTTAATGTTCATCAGTGCAGGGCCGAAAAGCAAGCCTTGTGAGACTCCAGATGGTATTGAACGAAGGTTTTTTCATTGGTGAAGGTGGTCATTGCGCACAACGTAAAACTTACGATTCAAAAAGTAACATCTTGAAATATATTACTTGTTTAATATACCTTGCAAAGCCAATTTTATTTATTAACACAATGCAACGATTACAATATAAAAATTGAACCTAATTAAATGAAAAGGAGGGCAACTGGCGGCCTTATCGCTTTCGAGCGATCTCTTCCAGGCAACCACTGTCAGAAAAGAAAAAAAAAGTATTAAATTAGATAAGGTAGGCAAGAATACATATTACGTATAGTTATTAAGAAAAAATACTAAACAGAAACAAAAAACAAACTAAACTAATAAAGGATACATGACAAATATTTTTATTTGTCATGTATTATTATTATATTTTCGATCAGTCTCACGTCAGTTAGTAGTTAGTACGAAAGTTAGGGATGCGATATGGACAGGTAATGTTTGTACAGAAGAAATAAGGAAGATAGAGAAGGAGCAAAGCGAATAGGGACGGGAAGTGAATTCCATAGTCTAACTGCAGAGACCTTAAAGTCTTCGCCAAGAAAGGAGGAGTTATGAGTTGGGATTTCAAGGATATAGTTTTCGGAAGAGCGTAAGCTATAATTATGAGCTCCCAAAAATTTGGAATCATTTTTGAGATAGGCAAGAGTTTTAGGGTTGAACAGTATGGAATATAAGAGATGGAGAGCATGAGCATCACGTCGCTGACAAATGGGTAACCAGCCTAGCCGCTTACGGAACGCAGAGATATGGTCGTACTTTCTTAGACCGAATATAAATCAGATACAGAAATTTTGGGGACGATCCAGTTTATTTAGCAATTCCTCGTTTAGATCGGAAGAGCAAGAATCGGCGTAGTCCAGTAATGGCAGAAAGAGATTGTGCCAGTGAGGTGAATTTATTATAGTATTTATACGTTACGTTTATTCGTTATAGGTAGGGAAGAATTAATGTATGGGTATTGGGTTAAACCAAATAAATTTAACTAATTTTTACGTTATAACTCTATTTTGCGTTATAGAGAGGTTTTCGTTATAGATAATGGCGTTATAAAGAATTTACACTGTATTTAAAATAAATTTAGATTTTATGTGAAAAAAAGTGCGTGCGTACAATGTACACATGTCAGAAGTGAAACATCTTTGGCAAACTAATATTTTTTCAAATGTAATTCTTCAATAATAAAAACACGTGGCATTTTAATTTATAATAAATATTAATTTTTTTTCCAACACCGATAAAGAAGTTTTACTTCAATAAGTTATTGGTAATTTAATTGTATTTATTTACTAATAATTTATATTATATTATATAATTTATAACAAAAATTAATACCGGATTAACAAAAATAAATGCAAACGAATTTAATAATAAATATTCTGTTCATAACAACTGTTGATGATACATGAGTAATGAGTATCCTATGTACATCAACTATGAACAGATTACTAAAAATGTTACTACATATTATATTTATTCGATTTAGTTCAGGGGCTGAACTTAAGAGGTCGTGACATCAAAGCATCAAATTTAGTCGTGAGCGGCTTCTCTATAGTCTTCTTATTGCCTTCTATAATATTATTAAACTCTTTGATTAAATAGAGGTTATAAATGTTTAAAATAAATCGTGAAAATAAAGCAATACAAATATAATTAACATTGCTAGTTATTCATAAAGAGCTTTGTCGCTTAAGACAAACAGGAAATATTTTTGAGTAAGATGGCACTGATGAAACGTTTGTTTTTAAAAAGTATTTGTTTATATTTATACAATTAATTTAATTTATTATTAAATATTTTGTATTAACCTAACCGTTTTATTTTATAGTTGTTTATACACCTCGAGCATTATCTTACAACGTCCGACATTTGTCTACAGAAGTAGCATATGATGACAGCCCTGTGGAAATGGAAAACCCATTCACTAAAGAAAAACGCCAATGTATACTTTGTAAATTGAACATAACGCCAGACTACAAGAACTACAGGCTTCTGTCACAGTTCCAAAGTCCATATACAGGAAGGATATATGGAAGACATATAACTGGACTATGTCAAACCAAACAGGCAGCAGTAGAGAGAGAAATCACTAAAGCACAGAACTGCGCTTATATGCCTTACTATTATAAGGACAAAACATTTTTAAAGGATCCTAAGCTGTTTGATCCTGAAAATCCAATCCGATCACACAGATTTTAGATACATGCAGTGGTAAAATAATTGCTATAACTCAATAAAATATTTTTAGTGAAAATATTAATGTTGGTGTGGTGAAGTAGTTGATAAAAATAATAAATAATAATTGTTTATGTATTTTATTATTATGTGCCCTATTGCTTCTGAAACATTATACCTATTATGGAAATATATATTACGCACATATTTAAAAATATTAAATTATTTATTTGATAACAAATTATAGAATGTAATGACTAAAATATAAGTATTAAGATTACTTAAGCTGTTGAAGAAAATATTTTATTTAACTTAAGTGTTAATACTTGATAAAATAATAGTATTATCATCTGGAGTAATAAAGGAGTCATTTTCTATATCATAACCAACTAGTTCTGGAGGTATTTTTAAAGTTTTTAATATTTCGGAATAATCCATATTCTGATTATCTGGGAACTTCTTTTTCATAAGATCAAAAAGTTCAAACAGTGCCTCTTGACAGCCTTTTTGCCACTTTTTAATTAAATTCCTAAGTTCTTCAGTATCCTCAGTCATGGCTTTGGCAATTAAGAGTTTTTTTTTCATCTCAATTCTATGTTTTAATTCATCAATGTCTTTTTGAGTTATTGATCCTGTAGATTTTGCTTTGGATGGTTTGACCACTTTCTCATAAGTCTTTTTTACTAAAATAGTTCTCTTAGTAAATTCAAAGTCATCATCGTCATTATCAAATGATTTTTGCAAAGTTTTTGTTTCTGTCATTGGTTTAACATTTTTTATTTTATTTATATTGGGAATAGACTTAGGGCTACTTTTCTTTTTCACCGACAATGTTTTAACAAAATCATTATCTTGTTTTTTATTTAAATCACAAAGGGGCAAATCATCAGAATCTGAATCAAATAGTGTTTGCGAAACAGATGTATTTATCATACTTGCTTTGTTTATGTGTGAATTATTGTCACCTTGTTGGTGTGTTTTGAGGGATTTTAACATTTTTTTTTGTATAAGAATAATACATTCCTTATTTAAGTTGTTAGGATCCTTAACATTAAGTTCATTGGCTTTAGTACTATCTACTTTAGAGATTTCATTTAAAATATTACTTTGTTCACATTGTTGAACAGTTTTTATCTTTTTTTTCGAATTCACTCTAGACAATTTTGAAAGTGTTTTATTATTGTTTTGGGGTGATTTACGCACAATTTCTGTACTTTTTGTTATGTCATCTTTGTTATTTGCATCTACATTTTGCAACATTAAAAATACTTTTGAATTTTTCTTAGAAATGGGGATACTTCGTGACGGCGTGTCACTAATGTGAGTGGGTGAAGAAATACATGCAATCGTTTCAGGTACTGCTAATACTGTTTCTTCAGGGGATTGAGGTGAAAAAGCTGATTCCTCACTGGTGCAACATATCTTTCTCTTTTTACACACTTTTGTAATTTCCGTGCTATTCTGGCTTCTGGATAATGGCGAAATAAAAGGCGATGGTCCTTTTCTATTAAATTTCCTGGATAAACCTAAGCGCCTACAAGGTGTCAATAGGGTTTTGCTAATTCCACCGGGAGTTTTAGGAGAATCTTCACTCGACTTCATTTTAGTGTAGGTTTTGATTAAATAATAATTATCTTTTTGAATATTAAAGACACGCCTTTTAAAATATTTTGTACTATTTTGTTTTTCGGCGCGCTTGCCGCTAAATCGCGGAATATAATTTTTTTTTTGGAGTTTATGGCCTGGTAAATAGACCTTTAGGCCAACGCGGAATATAAGTTATAAATCAGTGTTGCCAAAAGTCGATAGCCAAAAGTAACACAAGACAGTTCAAAACGTGTTATTTTCACGAGAAAGGTAACATAACAGTGAATAATGTGTAGGTAATATTAAATATACCAATTAACGGAGTAGCTAAACTGCTAAAGTGATCCTTGAACTTGTTAAAACCGTTAATACTGGGATTGAAAACATGAAGTTAGTAAAAATGAGGTTGTTTTATTTAAGCATGTATCATTGCTTTTGATGTCTTAAAATTGTTTTATTGTCTCAAAATAGTGATTTTTTTATATTTGCTTTAATAGCCATTAAGTAAAATGGTTTCAGTATTTCGTTTAAGACTTTTTATTAATTTTAGTTGACAAAACTTTATTTTTAGGCATGCATAAGTAAATGGCAACACGTCAGAGTAGAGTCCTTTTCATGGTGCCAATGGACTTTGTATCCGGCTAATAAATAAATTAAAAAAAAGAGTCCTTTTCATGAAAGAAGTCCCGCGGAGATTTTTGGAACTAAATTTGACAGGTCGGCCATGTTGTCGTTCGTCGATGTTATCAAGTTCGTTTGTTGTGGTAGATTTTTAACTAGCTTAGTGCATTTTAAAGATTGTTAACAATCCCAAAAGTTGTAAAAAGATCGGCTCGAATAATACATTGAAGGTGAAAGAGTTTTGTGAAGCGGAAAAAAAGAATCAAGGTGTTTTAATACCAGTAAACGATGTTCGGAAGAGAGTCGCCGCCATAACAAGTAATTTTTAGAGTTGCCACATAATAGTTTTTTGCTGTATTGATGGGACTTTTATGATATAAATTCATTTTTGCGTCAAAATTGAACAAATACATAACGAATGATAATGGGTTAAACTGAAATTAAAAAATATATTACGTAGTACATAAGCATTATAAACTTAAAGTTACTATTATTTTTAATTGTTTAATATTTAATTGCAGGTGTGTCAGAGAGAACTGTAACAAGAAATACAAAAGAAGGTATAAAATAAGTTGTCACCCCGGGGAAGCGTCGCCCGCATCCGAAATAGTATCAATATAAAAAGAACAATTATATCTACGGCTAGAGATCCACTCCTTAGACAGTGATGTTCCCATGGCCGCTGATCACAATTATTCAATAAAACTGAATAAAAAATTGAAATGCTTTTCTTTACCCTATTTTCTCATGTTATCCCTGTAAGTAGGTAGAACACCGCTTATATAAGTAAATAAAAATATACTTTTTACATAACAGAAATATTGTTTCATCGAAGTATGCAGAAAAGAGTATTGTTTGATAAATTAAATATGCTAAATGTAAAATAGGTAAGATTTTTACTCATAAATGGCAACATTACGTCACGCGATTACAGCGCCGCGTCTGGGTGACTTCTTTCATAAAAAGGACTATACCATTCATTTTCAAAAATTTCTCCAGGGGGTCTAGACAAGAAGGTGCTTTAACGGTAGTGTATGTAGAAAGTCGAAAACTAAATTTGTATGAAAATGACAGTTCGTTTCAACAGTCGGTAGCCTAGGCCCAAAAGGCGTGCATCGGGATACAATAAGCGACGCCATGACAGTGCTACGAAAAGACACACATTAACGCTCACGCTTTTCGGTAGGCAACGGCCAATTAATGTTTCGGCAGTGTAGGCCTTATGGCTTCAGCGTGCTTCTCATCCTTGGGGTTGTAGGTTCTATCACCGGCTGTGTATCAATGGAATTTCAATCTATGTGCGCATTTAACATTGGCTCGAACAGTGAAGGAAAACAACGTGAGGAAACCAGCTTGTCTTAGACCCAAAAAGCCGACGGCGTGTGTACGCTGATCACCTACTTGCCTATTAGATTGATTAATGATGACCTAAAAAGTTGTAGCACCACTGGTTTGTTTTTGTTTTAAAAAACCGCGTTTATCCCCTATGTTATAGCGTGATCTCAAAAGCTGCTGTAACAGTGTAATAACATTTCTTATATAATAATTCCTTTAGAAATTTGGTAAACCTCAAGTTATTTGTTTCATTCTTAAAAATTTCTGGTAATTTGTTATATATTTTTATGGAGGAGGTCAATGGTCCTTATTGAAGTAATTTTAGTCTGGATGTAGGTGGAATCAATTGGTTTTTACGAGAAGGTCTTAGTGAGTAAAGGGTTTTTGTATCTTCCCTTTTTGTATACATATTAGGATATTTACGAATAAATTTACATGCTTCCAGTATATATATGCTAGGTAGAGTAAGGATATTGTTCCGAATGAATGAGGCTTGCATGAGTCAGTATTTCCTATATTAACTAAAATTCTCAAAAGTTTTTTTTGGCTTGTAAATATGGCGGTTGCTGCCATATTTACACGGCTACCCCATAAGATAACACTAGAGCTGTTTTTATATCTGTGGATTTCGCGAAGTGCATATGCGAATCGAGACAATTTCAATCTAACCTTATTTACATGATATTTCCAGTTTATATGTGAGTCCATGTCTAAACCTAAAAGAGTAAACTTTTGTACCTTTTCTATATTATAACCATTATATGTCAACTTGATGTCCATTGGTGTTTTTTGATAGGGGTGGAATGTTATTAGTTTCGTTTTTTCATAGTTTATTTCCCGGTTTATGAAATCTTAGCCAGCTAGCCGTTTTATATATTGTCATTCGGAGCGTTGTATTTAAGTCTAATTTAGTTTTACCTGATATCAATATCGAAATGTCGTCAGCAAACAAAATACATGGCTCATGCATCAATTTAGGAAGGTCATTTATGTAGATCAAAAAGAGAAGGCATCACGTTTCCTTGAGGAATTGACGGTTTCAGCCTTCTACTTTCAGATCTAATGTGTTGAATTTCGCAAAATTTGTGGTCGTAATGTTCTATTTCAACTTGGTGTTGTCTATTGAATTCGCGGTGACACTCACGAGTGTCTAAAGGTGGGAACTGACCAAAGTTACGAGGTGTAATGTAGCATTCGCATCGAGCGTGTCACGCATCGAGCATGTTACGCTGTGTTCTAAAATCGGCGTAACATGCTCGTCAAAACTCTGTGCTCCGCTTTCGCCGCCAGTGTTCACGAGATGGCCGACAGCGAGGACGCGTTGGTATCTTTGATTCTACTTAATTATTGTTTCATCCAAATTAAGAAGAAGAAAAAATTTTACTGGACATCAAACTTATTTAAAACACTGCCGTATGAGGTGGTTTGTTATTGATTGCAATATTAAAAAAACCAAATGATTACTGGACAGTATAAAAACTTTGTATGCATGTCTCGATTTTGAAGAACTGTTGAATTTAATTGGAACTAAAAGTACTTAAAAGACACAATTTATAGAAAATCATAATCATGATCACTCGCGACGTGCGACGCGTACTGACTGAACCGCGTAACAGTCAAAGGATTCGCCGAAAAACCGACAGCCGGGTGGAGCACTCTAAGCGAGCTGGTTTCCCTGTAACACGACGTACTGACTGCTCGAATGCTCGCTGTGTAACGTGTTACATTACATCTCGTAACTTTGGTCAGTTCCCACCTTAATATTGTAATATTGTATAGTTTATCTAATAGTATGTCAAATTAAACTTTATCATATGCTTTCGTCATGTCGAGTAATAATCCTATTGCGTATTGTTTGTCATTAATCATGTCAAGTGCTCCTTGAATATATTTAAAAACTGACAAAGTGGTTGGATTATATATTTAAGGCTTGAAGTGCAAGCGAGAGCGCGAAGCGACAGAGAGGCACAATCGGACTCCGCGCTCTTCAGCGTTCGACATCTGTCTTTCTCCCACTTGAGTGAGCGATTCGTGACGTTGTCACGTTCAACTATCGTCAGTAAACCGACTTTACAGACAACCGATTTTTTTAATATATTAAATATTTCTAGCGGTTGTACAGGTCTGAGAAAAAAGTATGCTCTGTTTGATTGAAAAAGGGCGAGCGTGCGATAGTGACGGTGAAGAAGTTACGGTCTCTCCGATAGTTGCGAAAAAGTAATTGTAGGCGTTAGCTACTTGTTTTGGTTCTGTACAATTTACGTTGTTAATCTGTAGTTCTACATTATGGTTTTCTTTAAATAATATTTTTATTCGTTTGCTCATCTATTACATTACATTCCACATTGTTTTTATGACATTATTAGACTTTTTCATTTTGTTTATGTAATTATTAAGTTTTTTGGAATTATTTACTAAGCTGTTATTTAAGTAGCTTTTCATATTTTTTTATAGTATTCTGATATATTTTGTTATTATTTTTTTAACATAAATGTTTTTAATAATCTTTTATTTTTAGAGGACCTTTTTATACCTTTAGTTAGCCAGTATTTTTTGGTGTAGTTTTGAGGTTTATTTTTGTTTTTGGTATACATTTATTTAAAGTATTTGTCATCATTTTATGAAATGCAGTATAGTTTTCATTTAGTTATAGTGTAGTTTATATCAGCAAGTTGTGACTTAAATAGGTTTCTATTTTTATCATTATATTATGTATAATTTTTAGTTATAAACCATTTATCATTGTTTGAGAGTTTTGGGATTTTAATGTGTAAGATTGTAGATAGATGTTTTGTAAATCCGAAGTATTTTACTGTTATGCATAAGTTTTTGCCAATGAAATTTGTAAATATTAGATCTAGACATGTTGATGAAGTTTGTGTAAAGTTTGTTGCTTTTTTAAGGTGTTGGGTTAATCTCTTTTCCAGCATAAGTCCTAAAAATTGTGTAGTTTTTGGTGTATTTTCAAGCATTATTATATTAAAGTCTCCTCCTTTTACTACTTTGGACTTAGAATAATGTTTATTAATATATTTTAAGATTAAATTTATAATATCATAAAATATGATCTCACTTCTTCCATTCCAGTATATAGTCACCAATAAAATGTCTTCTTTAACCCTTAATTTGATTATGTTCACTGTGATAAACACTCATGAAAATAAATATTGAGCGACTATTTTCTACTATTTTTCAGTTTTTATTTTAGTTATAGCAAGTTTAATTTGTACTTCACTTCACTTTATTTATAATGGCGACATCTGTGTAAATCACAATTCCGCCAATGTCACGTTCTAAGTCTTCACACAGTGAGGATAGATTTGATAATTTTGATACATTGAATTTTATCTAAGCAGAGTTACCCAAAACAAAAATGACATCACAATAAATACAACACACACAGACATCTAATAATATATACAAGAGGTTAACATTTTACTACAAGGTATGAAGGGGAGAATCTTATTTATAACTTTAATTTATTAACAGAAATAAATTTCCCTAATATTTTGACGATCGAGCTGGATGGGAGGGAAAGTAGGGAGTTAAGGTTACATGGACGAGGGAAATCTGGAGAAAGATGGTCAAATAACGAGTCATTAATTAAAGAACAGTTAAAAAATATATGGTCTGTCGAGCCCTCGTCCATACCACACTCACAGAGAGAACTGTCTTTTATTTTAATTTTGGCTAGATGAACGGGAGTACCCTATACGAAGACGGCAGATTATAGACGTGACCTTTTGTTTAAAAACTTATATTTAAAAAACCACGGCGAAGAAGGGATTGAATACTGAATATTAGCATAGTGCCTGCCAGTTTTTTCTTTAGAAGATTGCCAATCAATAGTCAAGGATTTTAAAAGGTGGGAGTACGCAAGAGCTGATAGGTCGTGGGCCGAGATGTTGGGATGCTGACAAGATCCGCAGAAAATAGCACCTTTTGCACAAGAGTCAGCAGTTTCATTACCCGCTATACCACAATGACTAGGTATCCACCAAAGTACAATATGAATATCTTTTTTACTACACCTAAACAAAGCTTCTCTTATTTTTAGAATCGTATTATGTTTTTTTTTAGACCTGAATGGATTGGAAAGAATTGCCTGTAAACAGCTGCGAGAATCGGAAAAAATTGTAACTTTATTTAGGTTGTGGGACTCAGCATACAAAACCGCTTCTAGGATTGCAAAAGCTTCACCTGAAAAAACGGAGGTCAATGGAGGAAGTTTAAGTTTAATTTGTATTTATCGGTACAAAAAATAATTCTACAAATGGCATGAGGCATCATCGTTTATCTGTCATTATTGAGACAAGATGTCAGCGAGACGCGGGCACTCGATTCTTCGCAAGGTAAATATTTTTTTTAAATTATGTTATATTTGACTAAACTAACTTTTTATGGTTTATATTTGCTAAACAATAACAAGCTTTGGTTTGGAATGGGTTTTACGTAATGTTTTGTGTTTTTGGTAACTTTTATTTGGAGGCAAACTTGGTTGTTCATCACAGTGAACACTGCCAAATACTCGAATAAGTACTGTCAATTTGATATGTTTATTGTGATGAACATTGCCAAATTAGGGATAACTTTTATTTACAAATAATGTGTTTTGTGTGGTGGGCTTCTTTTGGTTTTTCTTTAATTTTTTCTCATCGCCAGAGTTTTTTTACCTACTGAAAGAAAACTACGGTGTCTTGGTACAATACGAAGCAACTGAATTAGAGGAGCTGAAAAGTTGCTACCGGATGAAATTAGTACGCTGGAATGATAATAAACCTGTACTCTTATAAGCCCATTTATTGGATCTGAACCAGTACAAAAAATAAAAAGGTATGCACTACCTACCTAGAACAGAAACAAAAAATAGAAGTGGATTGTCCGCAAATAGTTCGCGAGTATAATAAACATATGGGGGGTGTAGACCGTTCCATTCAAAACTAGAAGGTGGTACATAGGAATATTTAGCTAACTTCTAGATGTGTGTATAAATAATGCATGGCTATTGTATAAACGTAACTGTCAGGGAAGTCAACGAAAATCAAAGTCATTGAAAGTTTTCCAATATGAAATTTACTTAAGTTTAACAAAGAAAAATAGATCTATACCTCGTGAAAATATACAAGAATGTAAAATTATAAACCCAAGATCAGCCAGGCCTACAAGTCCCATCAGATTCGATAATACAGGACATTTTCCCAGCACAAAAGAAGACATGGGGCGATGCAAGTTTTGCCAGAAAAACACAACTGTATATTGTATAAAATGCAATGTGAGACTTTGTTTTGTTACGGGAAAAAATCCTCGCAATTGTTTTTTTTACATTTTCATAATAAATAAGTTGATTTAATGATATGTATAATGTTTTTAATTTACCTGTTTATATGACACTAATTTGACAACGTTTACCACAGTGAACATTACAAATTACTTGTTATCCTCAACATATTTCGCAGTGTTCACTGTGATGAACGTTGATTTCCTGAAAATCTGAAAGGAAAATATTTTTTTGTCTATTTTTCCTAAGTTGTATTTAACCCTAGGATTTAAGATATACATCTTATTTCATAAAATAAAACAACTCGGATCTCCGCCAAATTAAGGGTTAATCAGGTAAGTGGCGCATGCTTCAAGGACATATTCCGCTAATAGGTTACTTATACTCGTATTTCAGTACATTCGATGTGCTCTTGCAGAATTATGCAGACGTTTTAACGATTATGCAGGTTCAAAATATTGTATTTATTTATAACCTTCAATTTTTTAATGTGCTACGAACAGCAGCTTGGAGGTACGCTGTTGACTTTGCGGTAGCGGGTAGTGTATAATATCTCTTGACTGCGAACGAAGCGTTTTCGACAATACAATTACGCAAAAGTGGTAGTGTATCTAGAATACTTTTCGGTAGTAATACGGCTAGGCCACAAGGGCTTTAGGTATCCACAGAAGGAATATGGCATTGCTTAATGACAGTGACATTTACATTTTACCGAAACTTCACGGAGAAAAGTGAAATTCCAAATTTTCCAATAATCAAACTGATCAAAAAACATACTGCGCCACTTGCTATTTCGACTTCGAATTCAAGATCGCGACTTGACTTGGATCTTATCTACAAGTACGCGAAAAAAACGAAACTTAGCTGATACTCACGTTTAAATAAAAAAATCTTGTGTAATATTGTGTAAATTTTAAGAGTTCAGTGTTTGAAAATATTACATAATGCCACTCTTAAGACTTACTTCAGGCACTTTTGGACAGCTGCGCACTTTCGCTACGTCATCTGCTCTTGGAAAAAGAGTCAAAACATTTGCTGTTTATCGTTGGAATCCTGATGAGCCAGACAAAAAGCCATACACTCAGAATTTCGAGGTGGATTTAGATGATTGTGCGCCCATGGTTCTTGATGCATTACTAAAGATTAAGAATGAAATGGATCCCACCCTGACATTTAGAAGGTCGTGTCGTGAAGGGGTGTGTGGTTCTTGCGCAATGAATATTGACGGAGTCAACACTTTAGCGTGCATCAGCCACATCGATCATAATTTATCCAAGCCTACTAAAGTCTACCCATTGCCCCACATGTACGTAGTTAAAGATTTGGTACCAGATCTGACTAACTTTTACCGTCAGTATCAGTCCATAGAACCATGGTTGCAGCGTGATAATGAGGCAGTAAAGGGCAAGGAGACTCAGTTGCTCCAGGATGTTGAAGACAGGGCAAAACTTGATGGTCTATATGAATGTGTCCTATGCGCTTGTTGCTCTACAAGTTGCCCCTCATATTGGTGGAATGGTGACAAGTACTTAGGCCCTGCTGTTCTTATGCAGGCTTACCGATGGATTATTGACTCTAGGGATGATGCAACCTCGAAACGTCTTTCAAACCTAAAAGATACATATTCAGTGTATAGATGCCACACAATCATGAACTGTACTAGAACATGCCCCAAAGGCTTAAACCCAGGACGAGCAATTGCTCAGATCAAAACACTTTTATCAGGAATGGTAAAGAAACAGTCCCCCATATTGGACCCTGCTGGCCTTCAAAAACAATCTGCAAGCAATTAACTTGGAAATGTTTATTTAGAACAATATTATTTATTTTGACAATATGTTGCAATAAATGCAACTATCCCTTTTGATGTAGAAATACTTTTGACTGAACTGCTTGTTCTATTATGTTGCTGTAGGGTTTGTACATAATAATTCTTTATTAAAATCTGATTGATGTAAGAAAAATAAAATTGCTAATCATACAGTTTTGTCAATTTATTGTTGTTTCAGTACCTTCTTATTTTCCTAAGCATGTACTAGGACTATGACTATATATTATGAAAATAAAAAACCATGGAGTGCTACCGACTTTGTACAATAGTTTTCATGAATAAATTCTATTTAAAATAGAAACATGTCTTTTATATTTATACTACTATTATAAAGAGAAAAGATTTATGTATTTGTATCAGTGAACTTCAATACTACTCGGCCAATTTTTAATCATTACAAACCTTACCTTTGACTAATATAAGTTTAGATATTTTCACAACATTTTAAAATATAAATTTCATCTTGGGACAGGCCTCTAATAACAAGAGAATGATAAAAATAACTGATCAAATTTTTATTACTATTTAGTTGTGTTAAAAATTTATTTAATCAATAAACTAGAACATGAGGCTAAATTAAGAATGATTTTATATAAGAACTTTGAAATAAAATGTATAGTTTTATATATTATATTTACACTGTTATTTCTACCATAAAAAATTAAGTCAAACTTTTAAAAAATTATACACTTTTAACTCAAAATTTGCAAATATATTATAACTACATATTCTTTCATATCACAAATCTATTTTTATTTACATACACAAACAAATTTGGAGTATTAGTCATAGTTCATCAGGAAATAAGTCATCGCTTTTTGCAGACTTAGAACTAATTTGTAATATTCATAAGATGTCAAAGAAATCTTTAAATAACTTTTACTATACATTTTTACATAGTAATTTATTTAAAGATTTATTTGATTGCACATTCAATTAAGTTTACACTTACACATATTGGCAGTACCTTGGTTTATTTATTGTAGGTTTTAAGTGAAATTTAGTATTGTTAGCAAAGTGTAATGGTATAAAATGACTATCTTAAACCAATGTATTGTTTACAATACATATTAAAACAATACACTGTACATGTTACAGTTTCAGGATTTATAGTATTCAATCAATTCATACAAATCTTTAAAAAAATTAATAACATGTTTAATATACCTACTGAAAGTCTCAAATAGCTTTGAATCTTTTGTATGCATCAAACTTCTACCATAATAAATGTAACAAAACATTCAACTTTTTGATAATAAAAATATCATATTACTTATGTAAGAATAAGAACTTACCATTATATAATTTGCTATAGTAATTTTAAATTTTCATATGTAACTCTCATAGGTATTAGATATTACTGTTGCTGTATGATGATCAAAAAATCAGTAATAACCCACACTGAATATTTTTAAGAAACAATTATTCAAAAATAACTGTCATGGAAAACAATATTGGCATTTATTTGAATTTAATGGTGAAAAGTATCACTTTTACACTTTTCACACATGCTATTTAGCATTGAGCCTGGTATAATTATAAAGTTTAACTGACATTTCGCCTAGACAGAAAATGTAACTTGGGTTTATATAGGTCTGACGTTTCATATCGTTGCACCACATGTCTTGGTGCCTTTACTTTTCCATTGGAAGTTTTAGTAGGAGTGTTCTGTTCGTAGTTCTCTACTGATTTGTCACTGGAAGGACTGTTTGGTAGTTCTAGAAAAATAATAATTTAATGGTCAATGCAAATCAAGAATTATGAAGTGATTCACAGTGTTTATATTTAAACAGAAAACTATTACAGCCAAAAGAAAAAAAAAAGTTTTAAGGAAAATTAAGTATGTGAATACCTGTCCTCTTAGGTCGTGAGAGGCCAACTCTTTTCGCCCGTCCTAAATATTTCGATCTGACACTGGCTTGATTATCAGTATTTGGTTCTTCTGTATCTGAAAAGATAAAGGTTTTTGTGTAAATGCGCCATCAATCATATAACGGTGGACTTTGGAGAATAGACGCCATAGTTGTATTAAATATTGATTTTTATCAATATGGATTAATACTTTCATGACAGAAACTAATAGAAACGCATCTTTTTAACATAACAGTGGATAAAAGCTATTTATTCTAATATAATGAACACTAAACTAGGTATGATACCTTGACGTGTAAAAGGTATCAAATCAAGTTTAGAGTAACGCTAAAACAATATTTTTTTTTTGTACAGACACGAACGCGCACTCTTTAAGCTGCGTGTGTTTAAGAATACACTCGCTTCATTCCATCAATTTCATCCAAATTTAGGTATATAGAGATCTATTACAGTGGCTACTTTAGATATTAAAAAAATGTACCTGGAGTGGTAGAGGTAATAAGTTCAGAAGTGCTCATTTTTCTTATTTTATGGGGTGTTAGAACTGGCCGATTGTTATTTTCTGAGGTTTCATTATCATTAATTTTCCTTTTTATATTACAATCGATAGCGTTATCAATATTCGATTCGGTAATATAATCGATTTTTGGCATTTTTGACGGTGATTCATCAATTATATCGCCTAAGATAATTTGCATGATCTCTTTTCTAGAAGTTTTATTTACCATTTCTTGTAATTTAGCATCATAATCGTTACTTAATTCAAATGAACAATCTGATTTCCCAGGACTAAATACTGGGCATTTTATATCTGAGTCACTGGATTGAGACTCAGAATCAATTGGTAATTGTACTTCAGCAGTCAGATTCAAGTTTTTTACTATTGCCTTTGTTTTAGGCATTTTTAATTGGCCATTCCTATGATAACTGACGATGTCAAAGTCACCAAAAGTACTAGCAACATCTTTAAGTACATTTTCTTCATATGTACCACAATTAATTAGATAAAGCTTATTGCATAAATTTGTTTTTTTAATATACAATTTAAGAAACTCAGCATATTTAGTTTTTTCTAGTTCTGAGTTATATTTCTCATGTTCAGCAAAGAAACACAAATCATCATCTTTTTGTATTTCATTTTTATTTATTTCTACATTTTCCTCAGATATGCATTGTTTCCTAGATTTGTTTTTGTTTGCTCTATTTTCCTTTTCACCGGGTCGCATTTCAGATACATCATCATTAGGGTCGTTTTTAACATTTGATTGTCTATTAATTTCTGAAATAGTCAAATCATCAGAAAGGGTTCTATTTGTTTTTTCTGAGTCAGAAGACATTTCAATCTTTTGGCTTATATTTTCTTGTTCTTCATCACTAATTTCTGTTTCATTACCTGCATTTAACTCTTTATATAATTCTGCATTTGTGTAGGTTTTTTCCTCAACATAAGTTCGTTGTCTTTCACAAGGAACAGTATTTTGTATATTATATTGATTTGCTGTGTTAGTATTACATGCAAATTCTAATTCTGGTCCAGGTATACTAGAGTATACTTGACTAAGGCTTGGTCTCACATTAGCTTGAAACTCCAAAAGCAGAGCTGCTTCTTGATTCATACGTCTTTGCTCTTCTTCTAAAAATTTGCGCATTTTCATAATTTTCTTTGCTTCTTCAAAATTAGCTGCTATTTTTGGCTTTTTCAATGTAATATCAGGTACAAAAGGCAATCTTGGTGGTGAAGCTACTGGTGTTTCTAAATGGGTTTCTAATCTGACAATAGGTTGTTTTTGTAATACTTCAGCTTTCTTACCCACATCATGTGGGGCTACTTTATCACTTGGCGTAGTTGAACCACTCCCAGATGTGTTATCAGATTTACTATCAGATTTTGAAGTGCTTTCCTTTGCATCTTTTTTGCTATCTGATGATTTAGAACTAGAAGGCTGATGAGAACCTTTAGATGAAGAACTGCCATCATTGGAATCTCTATCAGTTGAACGTCTATTCGGATTACCCCTACCAGATAGGCTGTAGTGATCATCTGTATCTTTTTTAGACTTTTTATCTTTATCTTTATCACTAGATCTACTTTTACTGCTACTACTGCTCTTTCTGTCTTTATCGGCATGGTGAGAACTGGATTTTGAATCCTTAGAATGCTTATCTTTAGAAGAAGATTTATCTGAACTTTTTTGTTTGTCTTTTTGATTTGCTGATGAAGACTTTTTATCATCTGATCTGTTTGACTGTTTATGGCTGGAGCTTGAGCTTCGATGAGATTTTGAGTCTTTATGGCTCGATTTGTGAGAGCTTCTGTGTCTAGATGAATCTTTATTTTCTTTTCTATCACCTCTATCCCTTGATCTTTCTTTTTCACTTGGTTTATGTTTACCATCATCTTTAGATTTTTTATCATGGCGACTGGTATCTCTACTGCTTGAAGGTTTCGACTCCGGCTTTTTGTCCCTTGCTGAATGCTTGTGTTCTCTAGGCCTATGTGAGCTTTTATGACTGCTTTTTTGGCTGACTTGCTTTGGGTTTTCTTTTTTACTTTCTTCAGAATTTTGATCGGCTTCTTCTTTAATTTCAGTATTTATTTTACTGTTGGCATCACTTTCATAATCAATTTGTAAATGATTGCTATTAGAACTGTCTTCATATGCAGGTGTTATAAAATTATTTATATTAACTTGATTTAACTGGTAGGATAAATCAGTTTCATTTTTATGATCCATTTTAGGTGCATCCAAACTATTTTCAGTAGATTTAGTGTCTAATGCAAATCTGAAAGTACTTGGCTCTTTGATTTCTTCCTTTTTACTCTCTATCAGTTGGTTTTCAAATGCTTGTTGGGCATCGCAAGAGTTTTCATTATTGTAACTTCTGATAGGAGTCAAAGGTGACATATTTCTACGTAATGATGAATCCGAACTAGAGTCGTCATCATCACTGTTGACAGTTTTAAAGAAAGTACCATTTTCTTGTTTTGGTATGTCATCAGGTAATGGAATATCTGTAGCAACATCTTGTTCTTTTGGTAGTTCTATTTTGTCTATCTCAACCTTTTCAACTTTTGGAGGACTATTTTCAGGAGGAGGTATATCTTCAGGTCTTATCTCCTCTGCAGGGAGTGGAATACTGTCTTTGTTGTCACAACCATTTGAGTCATGTATTGTTAATTCACTAACACCAGATGTTTCTGCTTCTTCAATTTTCTCAGTTACTTCAGCTAACTTTTCTTCTTTTTTTTGTTCATATACTGGCTCAGATATTCCATCCACTTCCATTGGATCATCTTTATCTTCATTACTTTTAACTGAACCTGGACTTACTGCTTCTAAGTCTGTTGGAAGCAAATCTGCAATTCCATTTGATGTTTCAACTGAGTTCTTCTTTCTAGTGATACCCAGATAGTCATAGACAAGGTCTTCTACTTTTGGAACAAATACCGTTGCTAACTTTGGGTTTACAACTTGATCTACTATTCTTTCCACCCCTTGTTCCAGGTAATTGCCACTGTAAAAAGAAATAAACAAATCAATTCACCATATAAAAACACATAAATATTTATATATAAGTATTATACTCAATACTACAGAAGTTTAAAAAGCTCTAAAACATTTAAAATAAAGCAGTATGAAAATCTTTAGAAGCATCCATTTATTATGTAGCAAATCTTTTGAATACAAAAGTTAAGGCTTAAAAAATGAGTTTATGTTATAACAAACAACTACACACTCTAAAATATGTTTTCTCAATTTTTCTCTTAGTTGATTCTTGTTGAGATCTGGTTTCCAAACTTGTCGGGCAAGGAATGATGACACAGAGTTCTCTACACGCTGCCGAAGATTCTGATATGCTGGTCTTGTATCTACATCTGCTATACAGTCTTTTCTAAACTGTAAATAAATATATTTTAAAGGTGGCCAAGGCCATGATGAAATTAAGAAAAAAATTTAATATTTTATTTTATAGAGTAACTAGCAGACTCGGCCAAGCGTTGCTGTGGCTAAGGTTTTTGTTATATTAAATATTAGTAAACAATTCAAGGGAAATGGTGGGAGGAAACCAGTCATGGGGACCACCATGCTTTTTTGGTGGTAATGCCATTAAATTGTAGCTTATTTGAAACGTTGGTACTTTCAACACAGCGCCGCGCCATCTGGTAGCATTGTGACTATAAAAAATAAACAAATAATTTGCAATAAAATAATATTGCGAGTATAAATTAAGATGTAAGCTATCCTATCTTTTAAGTTAGATCAAACTGCACACGGTGTGCAAATTTGATTAAAATCGGTTCGGTAGTTTAGGAGTCCATAGCGGACAAACAACGTGACACGTAATTTATATATATTAAGATTATTACGTGATTAATTTTACCTAAATTTTAACGATGATGAAAATTTACCAAATGATCAAATATTAACTAGCACACAAATAATATACAGTTGACACAGTTTTATAAGATTTACAGCCAACCTTCAAATCCTTTTTAGGTCTACCAATTAGTATTAGTGAAAATCTAATATTAACACGGATTAATTGTCAATCCAGAATAGAAAGATGTCTTCATCATACATATTAATAAATAATAAGTTGGTAAACCTATAACCTATAATCATATTAATAAAGATGATAATGTTATTAAGCTGTAATATAAAATAATATAATATTATGCTCATTGTTTAGACAAAGTAACATTAGATAATGTTCACTTCAACAAAGATAATGTTTTTTTTATCATGTAAATAGAAAGTAGTAGTTATTAATTAAGAAGAATTGAAGTTAGTAATTATTAAGAGTCTGAATGTAAGTAAAACTAAATGCATTGTATTAGCTATATTCAAGTCTACATCTATAGTGTAGTTTCCAAAATAGTTACATCACTAAAACTATTAATATAGAATCATATAGTTATATTCAATGCTATACTAAATAATGTGTACATAGCTAATAATAAAGAAATAATATGTAATTCTTTACTACAAAATTTTATATTTTAAACACTGCTGTCAAATAGTTTCCTATATTCATATGGTCATTAAGTGTGATTTTCAAGATAGAAGATTGTTTTAAATAGATGAAATGAATACAGTTTTCACATAACATAATTTAGTGAAAAAAATATTCTACCTGATCGAAAATTCCTTTTGATTTCAACTCGTAAACCAATTGATCAACTAAACGAGGATCACCAGGCATGTATTGTAAATGAGCCATCACTTTAACAAATAAATATTCATTAACTAATAAAGCACGAATCGTAAAGGTATTATTTGCATATTTTATGTTTCGATAGTGTTTACTAGATAAAGTTAATATAATACTATCATTGATATTTTACACAAAAAAAAATCAAATGATCAAAACTTAAACTTTAAGTGAAGACAAATTCCTTACTCGGTGTTGCCAACTAGCCCATATAAAATTTGATAAGCTGCAGACTGCTGTGAAACTTTTGATTTTTTTTAAAGTTATAGGCCTCTTGGATAACGCTAGTGGCGCGGCGTTGTGGCAGATTCAGGCAACACGCGGGCGTCTGAGTTCGATCAGCTGTAGGGTTTATGTTATTCAATCATTTAAAAACGTTAAAAAGTACTCTCAAAAGGAAAAAGAATAGGTGGTACGAGGTACTGTTGTGTTGTGGGCTGTAAAAATTCTTAATCTCAGAATCGTGGATTAACTTTTTATTCGTTTCCTAGACGGAATTGGGAAATTAAAAAAGAAATGAATAGATAAAAACTGTCAGAAGTAATGTAAGTAAATATTTATTAAGACGAGTTGATATCGGGAACGTATCGAAAATATACAAACTCCAAATTTTCTCTTTGTAGAACATTAGATAACAAGCCGTGGTAGCCGAGTAAGAACACTTGAATCTGCAGTGCTCATTTTGTTGGAGGAAAGTAGTCTAACGTCGATGACAGCCTAACGTATGTCCCAACAATTTTTTCCCCTGTGTACAAAAAAAAAGAGATTCACAATTGGCCTTAGCTAGACACGTGCGACTTCTGAAAAAAAAAGAGAAAATGGGCAATCAACAGCTTCAAAACCACAAGAACTGGAAATTAAAGATAAAAAACGATGAAATAAAAAATGAGTAAATAAATAAAATTTTATTATTGGTTCAATATTTCAGAACAATACTTATTCCTTCCTAATTTTACACATATTTCTGTGATAAAGAAATATATTTTCATTTTCCATTTTTGCTTTGCTTGTGTAGTTGAGAAGTTGCTGAAAATATATTTGTTTAGATTTTTCAACCATTAATATATTTTATAATTAATACATACCTCCACTTTCACGTCGTACGGTCAATTACCTACTCTGGTCTGTGGTATTACTTTTCCATCATGGATTTCGAAGACCTCTAGAACATGATGGCTTTGGAATAGTTTGTGCCCTATTAGATTAATTGAACATCCTGTTATTAGTAATACGATGATCTTACAAATAAAAAAGTAGGAAGTAAAAATTACATATTATGAATTTAAAAGAATATTTCATGGTTCGTGTATTTAGGTACTTACCTTTCGACATAGATTTTCCGCGGAAAATGCGTAAATATTCTGAAATCCACACATAATAATAGTTTGGCTCATCATATTGATTGTATACTGTTTTAATAATTGTGTTAAAATAAACAATTAACAGAAAGGTGCAGTGACTTTTATGCGAATCATATTATGTTCACTGCTATGAGAAAACCGACGTCGAGTTGCCGCCGTCAACCGACCGATGGCGTTGCCGTAGCTTCGCCACGTTATCCAAGAGGCCTATAGTATTCTCTATAAAAAAACGGGCAGAAGACTCAGGCTCATACCGCCGCCATGGACACTCTCAATGCCAGAGTGCTCGCAAGTACGATGCCGGCCTTTTAAGAATTGGTACGCTCTTTACTCGAAGGACCCTAAGTCGAATTGGTTCGGAAATACTTCAGTGGGCAGCTGGTTCTACATAGTGGTTGTGCGTGCCACGTGGCAAAAGACGCTCAGCTGTTGTGAAACGACGGAGTCAAAGTGTCTCGACGTTCGATGATGAAACTCAGTTGTAGGTATTAAATCGAACAACTATAGGTCGGTTATCGAAAGCTGGCGCGTTCACAGTACTCACACTAATGCAATTTCACTATACAGTGTGTTTAAAAATATGACTTTTTTGCAAAGCTATATATTTTAGTCTACTCTGGTTTTAGTAAGGTTGGGTGGGATGTAAAATAAATAAAAATGTGTCAAATTCATATAATGAGCATACGAGGGTGGATCCAAAAGTTCTAAGCCCGACCAAGAACGTAAAAGAGTAGTTTGTGTAAATAATTTTTCATTTTTCGACATAAGCTCCATCTAGCTCAACACACTTCACTAACAATTCTTTCAATACTCCTCTTAGAAACCCCAGTCGCATGTGATGTCAAATTAAAAATAACATTTTTTCATTAAACTGCTTAAAATAATTAAAAACATTGTGCACCATTTCACGAGATTGTCCTGGTAATGTTTGAAAAAAGATCAACATGTACAGTAAAGATCAACATAAACAGTAGCAAAAGCAAAAAAATAACTGTCACTTTTATACTCATAAGCTTGACCGAGCGCGAGAGAGACGGACAGTTTTTTCATGATGTATTTGTGATAGTATTTCAGTTTGACATCACGCCTCGCGCTTATTCACAGACCCTACACAAGTACAAAGTGTAAATGTGTTGAAGCCGCCAGCTTTAAATAACATACCAATAGCTATGCTAACGGTTATAAAAAAAAAAAAAAAGGTGCGTGTACTTATGTACGCGCGTAAGAAGTTATACTTCTTTGGCATTATTAAAAATAGTTTTTGATTGCATGCAAATAATTAATTACAATTAAATAATCAAAGACTGGAAAAGGAGTCATTAAAGTCAATAAAGTTCAGTTTACATTTGAAAAATTAATTAAATAAATATTTATTATTATTCTCTTACATTAAACAAATAAAACACTATTTATCTTTAAAACATTTTTATTTCATTATACTATTTATTTTTAAGTGACTCTAATGTCTTCATCAGAATTTCGGTTTGTAATTTTAAATTAATCATTACTTGGTTGTGCATCTACGAGGCTTCTCCAAAACTACTTGCTTTCTGCAACAAATAAGAGAATATTAATTTAAGCTCTGTCCATGCAAAACTTAAATTTTTTTATAATTCATATTATAAATTTTTTAACACATTTATATAATTATATTAATAATATAATTTGTAGCACATGCTACAGACCTGGATAGCAACTTTCTTTTATTCTATTTAGAGATAGAGATAATTTAAATATAATACCGGTGTCTTCCTTGTAGGTTTCTTTGGAGTTGTTTGGGGATTCTTGTTGTTCAGTTCGACATGATTTTCTTTAACCTTTCTTTAATCCTACAAAATAATGAAATTGTTAAGTTATGTTGTCACTGTTGTGCACACCTTTGTTTGGCTTTTTTTAGTATTCAAGTTATGTCAAAACTGATTTATTACCTTGTCATTGTTGGCTTTATTTGCTTTTGGGATATCAATTGTTTCCAAAATGATTTTATTTGTAATAACCTGAAATATATAAATAACATCTATTAATTTAAGTATCATGGTGAGTGGTTCGCACTCAGGTATTAAGGTGTATTATACCCACTGTCCATTATAAGTGGGAATGGGCTCACTTCTGGCAGGACAGAGTTTCGGTACTACAAGTGCAACATGGATGTTTTGAGGTATTACAATATCTCTAACTACCCTGTAGGGGAATAAAGTAATGATGTAAGCATATGCCTATGCTTGAAAGGTTGAACCTTGAACATCACCATACATCATATTTATAATTAACATTCCTACCTCGACACCATCACAATTCATTGAAATCTACTTCAAACCATTGTGTCTCGAGAAGGTGATGGTGGCTTTGTTCCACCTCCAGTTTTTGATGTTTCACGGCGATAAGATGACAACTCTTTTTTTTGTATTCAATTTAGTGCACTTCCACTGATTCATCAATTGTTTTTTGTCTCTTGTCCTTATATTTGCTAGATTAAATCTGATGTTTTGATTAAATAATGTGGTCATTTTTTTTGAGATGCAGGTACTTATTAAAATGTTTACTTCTCTGTTATATCGCTCCAAGCCTTCATTTTCTCCTTATTAGTATTCGTGCTTAAATCTTTGTTCTCAATTATTGATATATAGGGTCGTAGAATATTTCTAAAAAGTTGCTGTAACAAACGCAATAAACAAAAGCAATGAATAATGGTTCATGTTTCAGTTTTAATCAACAATAATACTCGATAATACATACGGATAGTTAACCTCAATTGTATTGAAGCACTCAGGAAGGTTAGCACAGTTTTTTCACAAATATTTTATATTATTTCACAAATATTTTGTATAATGAAAATAACTAGGTATATAATTATTAATTTTAAACAATAATTAAAACTCCTATATTTGTTTAAAAGGTAAATGTCATTGTCAGATGTCAATTGTCATGGTCATTCAAAATTCTTGTTAAGCTGCTAAGCTAGAATATGCGTGAAGTTAGCTTCACGCATATTCTATTTCTTTTTACTTGTAGTTTGTCTTATTCCCATCTCGCTCGCGCACGCTATATCACACTGCCAATTTTGTGTCATAGGTGCGCGCGCAATCGTAAAATTTCACTCTCATCAATTTTTCATAACGCGCCTAAAGAAGTACAACTTCAAAAACTTTTTCAAAGGAGAATACAAACAATACGTGTTTTGAAAAAAACATACTTGGGAAGAGAATTAATTAACAATGTTTCTTTATCATATCATGGTTACTACGGCCTACTGTTAATTCTTACATCTGGAATTCTTCTGCCGGTACTCATTACACTATTATCGATATTAGGTAGCTTTTAAAACTTGTATGGAAATTACTAGCGATGTTGGTATTTTGCACAACATTACGATAGAAATTCCAACCAAATTCAAAATATTATACTGAATAATCTTGTATAATACTTTTGGCAACACTGTTGCTAGATGTGACGAATTTAATTCCTAAAATGTCGGATCCAATCCAAACATTTGGATTTACAAAATATAATGTTACTAGCCGTTTCTCGCCCGGTTCGCTGGGCGAATTCAAATAGGAAATAAATAAAATTTTATGTTTCATGATTATTATTTTTTCATATTTTTATTATTCTTCTTTTAACTTCCCGCTAAGAAAATTGAAAATTTTCGAAAATCGAGTTTTTAACAGATGTGGACGTTTTGAGGTTCTAGGAAGCCTCCCCGAATGTTTCCGCGGTGAAGTCCGTATGTATAAATTTTCATAAAAGTAAAACAGCAATAAAAAAATGAAGGAACGTTGGATATTAAAAAATAAATAGCCATAAACCATCTAGGATAAAATTCGCATCGAATGGCAGTAGTTCATGTCGATACGATCAGTGGTTTAGAAGACCATTTTTCTTATATATATATAAGATATAACTGAGCGGTCACTCAAAGTACTTTCAATTGTACTGGGCTATTCAAAAATCTGCGACCCTTTAAGATCTCGGAAATTTAGGATCGTTTTCATCAGAAGATGAAAACGATTTAATATTACAGATAATTGTATGAAGTTTACGGATTAATACTATTTTTGTTTAATTAGTTATTTACTTATGTTTGAGAGACGAAAATCGCTATTTGCAGTAACACAGATTTTGGAAACGACGGAGGATTCAAATCAGCTGTTCAGTGATTTTTAATGCAATAGGCACACAGAAATGTAGTAATGTATAATTTGAAAAATATATTAATATCAACTGAAACTGCAAGAAACTTCAATATGAGCGTAAATTAAGTCCATAAATCATAATTCGTGTGCCAAGTCTCGTTTCTGAATCTCACCCTTTGTTTGAACGAAATGATAGTAATAAATCACCATTTATTACTATCATCACTAGCTTAAAACTAATAATATGACTAATAATTACAATCATCATTCAAAGAGATAATAATATAGTAGGGAATAGAAAAGCCATTCTCGACATAAATTTGATTTATTGCTCGATTGTATTATAGGATTTAGTATTATAAAGGAGCGGTCTGTATAAAAGAGCTAGTGATTCGGTAATTTTCGTTGGTTCTGCTGAAGGCACTTTACAGTTTACCAATGTCTCTGATTAATCTGGTGTACATCTGTGCACTTTACCTCTTTTCCTGTGCCCGTTTGTAGCCTCTGGCCCTCTGATTCAAATTAAAGTAACGGTTGCAGATATGGTTATATTAATTACTTTTAGAAAGAACAACTCGTAAGATAAATAACAAGGATATGGACAAAAATATCTGTAACGATTCGAAGCGAATTCTTAAAACTGTTGTACAACAGGACAAAAATGAAGAAATTGCTAATGGTAAATATAGTTTGAAGTTTTAACTTGACAGTTCCTTTATTATTGTGTTTCTGTAAAGCGCCTTGGTATATATTTTTGTAACCTTATAATTAATTTATTTACTTATAAATCATAAATAATTATTAAATAGATACTATGAATAAGCTATCGTCGTATAGTATAAGAGATATACATAAAGCGTATCGTGACAAGTCTTTGAATCCTTGTGGTATAATTGATCAATGTTTGGATAGAGCTAAGAAAACGAAGAAATTAAATGCCTTTATAACTTTAACACCTCAAGTAGCTCAAGAACAAAGTTTACGATGTCAAAAACGACTCCAATCAAGAAATAAATTAAATCTGTTAGAAGGAATTTCTGTTTGTTTAAAGGATAATTTTTGTACGAAAGATATTCGGACAACTTGTGCTTCTAACATGCTAAAAAACTTTATACCAACATATAATGCTACTATTTATTCTAAACTAATGATGGCGGGAGCATGTCTGGTTGGAAAAACTAATTTGGATGAATTTGCAATGGGCTCTGGGACTGTTGATTCTATTTATGGGCCAACACGTAATCCATGGTGCTATAATGACAATTGGAGGATCCCCGGAGGCAGTTCTGGAGGAAGTGCAGTAGCTGTCAGTTCTGGGTCTTGTGTTGTGGCTATTGGATCAGATACAGGAGGATCTACAAGAAACCCGGCTGCATTATGTGGAATAGTTGGCTTAAAACCTACTTATGGTCTTGTGTCTAGATATGGACTTATTCCATTAGTTAACTCAATGGATGTACCTGGAGTCTTGGCTAAAAATGTTGATGATGCAGCTATAACATTAAATTGTATAGCAGGGCCAGATGATTTGGACTCAACAACTATAAAGTCTGCATTTAAACCTGTATTAATAAAAGATGATTTTGATATATGTAATTTAAATATAGGTATACCAAAAGAATACCACTGTAAAGATATGAGCATTGAAGTCATTGAGTGTTGGCAGTATGTTACAGATTTGTTGGAAAAATTATGTAAAATTTCATGTGTGTCGTTGCCACACACATCTGTTTCAATAGCTGTATACTCTATACTTAATCAGTGTGAAGTTGCAAGCAATATGTCTCGTTATGATGGTTTAGAATATGGACTAAGAACCAAAACAAATTATTCTACAGAAGAGTTGTATGCTACAACAAGATCACAAGGTTTCAACAATGTGGTTAGGTCAAGAATATTTGCGGGAAATTACTTTTTATTGAGACAGAATTATGAAAAATACTTCATGAAGGCTCAAAAATTACGCAGACTGATTTCAGATGACTTTAAAAATGTTTTTAATGGTGACAATAAAGTAGATTTGTTGTTGACACCAACTACACTGTCTGAAGCTCCTTTGTATAATGATTTTACTGCCAAAAACAACAGAGATCAGTGTGTACTTCAAGACTATTGTACTCAACCAGCAAATATGGCTGGAATACCAGCTATTTCTATTCCAGTTAAACTGTCTAAAAATAAAATGCCTCTCTCCTTACAATTAATGGGACCTGCATTGTCAGAAGATTTATTGCTAAATGTTGCAAAAAAAATAGAGACTTTAGTAAATTTTCCTGTATTAGATTTTAATCAAATTATAAATAAAAATTGAAATTCTCTGTTTTATTATACTTAAAATTATCTATTTCAGTTTTTTAAGAAATAGCCAGTTTCAAATCTCAGATTTTTGTGATACACATGTTTGGATATGATTTTACAAATTAGTATCACCATCTTAAGTAATAACTATAAGTATCCAGATTCAAATTTTGTGTTTTTCCAGGAGAACTCACTGCTGAGATTTTGTCTAAACTAAATATTAGCATCAACAAATTGCCCCCAAAGTCTCTGAAGATCCTCCAAGACTGTGTAAAATACAGAGATTTAAGTTTAGACCCAATGTCAATTTCTTTAATGGAAACAAAAGTAATTGCTGAAAAATTCCAAGATGAATATGAAATTTTAAAGTTAAATCAAATGAATGCAAGGCTACAAATGAAAATAGACCGAAATAACAAGTTTATTGAAGGTTTAAAGAAAGAATTACTTTCTTCAAAGCAGTCACTGATGCAGCAAAACCCAAACCCTATGAATATCCATGAGAGTATTCGACAGGTGAAGCAGAAATTAGTGGTTTATGAACAAAGCTGTGAAAAGGCTAAGGTAATGAACAATTAATGAATATAATCGATAAAAGCTTATATTTCCACCACACTACTATAAAAAAACATAGCTCCAAAAATAAAGAGTGTCCTGATGTTGCTTAAAGTTGGCTACTCACAACTTAGAGAATATTGAGTTTGGAATGGACGAAGAGTAGACAGAGTGGCAGTCAGATTTCTATTAATGACTAATTAGATTAAATGTTTAGGTTTGGAAATGCTTGAGAACATTTAAAAAGAATAAAATAAAATAGATCAGTTAGGTTTTTTTAAGATTTACCTAATTGTTTGTTATAATGTAAATTTGCAATTATTATTTCAGATAAACTTCTCAAATCTCAACGTTAATGAAGTCATCTTGCCGAAATCCTTGATGTCATTGGTGACGTCACTGGCCGCTTTACGTGAAGAGGCAGTTAAACTAAAACGTGACGCTGATGATGTACTCTTTATAAAACAAGCGGTTTCCAATATGAAAATGATTCGCTGACAATTGTTTATGATTTGTTTATAAAAATTACGGCATATCCGACATATTTTGACATGCCACAAAAAGAATCAAATCAATAATAAAAATAATACAAACGTAGATAGCAAGTTCTGTAAAAAACAATGTCTTGATAGTTCCTAAAGCTCGATTTCAGTTAAACTTGCATGACGTCAATTTAAAATATCATAATCCTTGTATTAGCTTCTGATGTTTTTTTAATGTAGTGAGGAACATGTCGGTAATTGTATTGCAACAATTATAGGGGCTACGAAACTCCACGAGTCGGTGAAGTCGATCTCTAGTATACACTACACTATATTGGCCTATAAGTAGCTTTACATCCGTACTAATATTATAAAATGAATGTATGTGTATTTTTGTATGTTTCTAACAAATAAAGTCAAAATAATATGATGAAATATTTAAGAAATGTCCTGCAAAGTCGTGCCGGCCACCAGTGAGTCAACATAAAGCAGTTCTATTTAAGTTGCGTTGAATAAAATAAAATAAAAACTATTTTCTTTGTTTTTTATTTTATAGATTGTAACATTTTAAAAGAGTACCGAGAGTTTTTCACGCCGGCTTTTTCTCTCGGCCTACACCCTCTGTCTTCTTTGCCGATGAGTAGGGATGCCTACAAATTCAAATTTAATGACTTGGAATAAGTGATACATGTATCTTATGTTCCATAATAAACATATTTTATTTTTTATTTACATGAGATACAAAAGTACAAGTGCCATGATAGCTTTTATGGTGGGTTTTCTGCTCCCTACGAGATTTGTGTAAGTAATTATCATAGAATAAAGGACTCTGTATTGTTTTCTTTTGTAACACTATATATTAGGTTGGGGAAAACGTCTTTTCGCATTATACTATGTATGAACTTGTAATAAAATCTCTTTGGCTATACTATATGTATTTGCCTGTTTTTGTTATCATTGAAAGTTGAGATTTTAAAGAAGATAATTCCAAATTCATATTAGGATAATGTTTGATTTTTATTTATTTTTCGTAACGTCAAGATAAGTGAATCTAATGAAGAAATTCGATACATTTTAAAATTTTACTACAAAAAAGGTAAAAATGCAACGCAAGCCGCGAAAAAAATTTGCGATGTTTATGGACCTAGTGCAGTGTCTGTGAGAGTAGCACAAATTTGGTTTCAGCTATTTCAATTTTTTTTTTAAATTTATTCAATGGGTCTTAATCTTTATCAAAGCTAAAGCCGTAATAGCGTAAACACCCTAAGTAAACAACAACAAATATGGAAATAAATTCGTTCATTATTTACAAGCTAAGATTTTTGTATCGGGCTTCGGCACTATTTTGCTTGACTGCAGCGCCATCTACTGGTTATTGTTTTGGATTAGACAGAAGGCAAACGAGCAGGTGGGTTACTCAAATTGAACTGCTTATCGCCGCCCATGGACACCCGCAACACCAGGAGGTTTGCAAATGCTTTGCCGGCCTTTAAGATGTGGTACGCTCTTCTCTTGAAGGCCATTAAGTCGTCACTGTTCGGAAATACCTAGAATAGCATGTGGTTCCATAAAGTGGAGGTCCGCGGCAAGAAGTTCTGTGGAATTTTGTATTCAGTAATAACGTCCGAAATAGTCCTTCGGAACTCTCCCCATAATATATGCGATAGAAGATACAGAGAGAACCTATATCTCTATGCAACGCCAAAGGATCAAGCCGATCAGAAAGATAAAAAGTGTCGACGATTCGAGGCACTCTGAGTTGGATGGGATCAAAAGATTGGGGACCCTGCCCAGAGATAGGAACAGTACTCCATGTGGGGCCAGATTTGCGCTTAATAGAGTTGTAACCCAGAGTAAAGTACCTACTGTCGCACCCTGCCGAATACACCCAGTTTCTGCACACCAGATGACTGGGGAACTGAACGATATGTCAACACCGAGTATTCCGATACTAGCTGAGGCTTTTAGAGGAGTACATGCGAATAGTGGTGTTACGACAGAGGGATTCTTAGCGGTGAACGCGCAAACTTTATTAGTACTATTTAATTAGCTTTAAATTCGACTAAATAAGGCGACCCCAATCCGAGTCCCCACCGATTTCAGGCATAAGTTTGTCCGGACACTGCTCTGCATGAACCCGAGAAATATTTGCATGGTCAGTGTAGAAAGCGTTCCCAGTGCAGTGGTTTTAGGTCAGAACATTCACCGTCGACACCAACCTTGTTGTTACTATTAGCCAAAAATCTGGATATCCACTCGCACAATTTTACAGATAATCATAAGCTGGAAGTTTCGCAAGAAGTGCCTTGTGCCTTACCCGATCAAAGGCTTTCGCTATTTACAAACTGATCGCCAGCACCTCCCCTTCTGACTCCATCGTCGCAGCCCATCTATGAGTAACATACTCAAAGATCACCTGCTGAACGGTCTCAGCGAAAACTATACTGACGGTCCTTGTTCACTGATCGGCTGGCGTTTGTCCTATTAAAAACGGACCGAAGGCTGTTGAAAAATGGACTCCATTATTCTAAAGAACAATGAAGTGATGGGAATGGGGCGAAAGTTGGACCGATTAGAGCGGTCCCCTTCTTGGGTGTATTGAGGCAGTATTCCCCCGGCTTTGCATTTTGAAGTGAGGGCTTCCTATAAATTCCGTAGGACAGCTGTTGCAAGAGACCAGAAGCTCTCACATTTTATTAAGTATAAGAAAATCGGTCCAGTTACAGACGGAACAATTTTTTTAATACCAGATTGGGGGAAATCTGCATGGTTAAATAGTAAAGTTTTATGAAAGAAATGTATTCACTATTCAAATATTTAATAATAATAATCCAAATCGATCTACGGACTATAAAAGAAAATACAAAAGATTACACAGTTCGAATTGACAAGTTCTTCTGTAGCTTTTTTGTAGTCAGTATTCAATATTTTATTCAAGTTAAGATATTATTGGTTCACGCTCTTTTAGTGGATAAATGTTAAGACTGATTTCAAATTAAAAATATGTATAAACAATAAACTGACGTGATTTTATTTATATTGCTCATTTAATTACTTCAATAGTAGTTCTGTTTGTCGGCTTCGATACTACTATTTATTACCGCTGAAGTTGTAAATTTGAAAAAAAAAACAGCTAGCAAGCAAGTTGATAATCTAGTATTTATTGTACAGTTATTGACATGGTGATGTCGGTGAGTGACCTCTAGTGTCTCGAGAAACGGTAAAATATCACCACTTTGCATAGAAATAATAGTATTTATGTAATATACAGCAATAACATGCTTTTAAAACTTCCCGTCTCTTGTAGTTCAAATACAAGAACAAGTGATGGTATCGATTGCATCCAATTGTACGATAAAAATAAACACACTTGTCTTTTATACTAATTCAGAACTAAATAAAAATACTATTTAAAAGAAGCAGTGGCGCTACAACGCCTCAGGTATCTGTATCTGTTGATATTTTTTTTCATAATTATAAGTCTGGTGATTTTTGGGTCTAAAGTTTGCCGGGTTCCTTGCGTGGTTATCGAGCGAGTGTTAGATTTGTATTAAATGAGAATGATAAATGTACTCACAATTTGTCGTTTATATTTCTAGTTGCAATTACCCTCATACACAGTTAATTGTTATTAATTTATGTATACTTGCATATATTTGCACAATTAGGTCAATATCGCTAGTAAAACAGAAGATTTATATTTTTCATGTCTATGTACTTGTGTTCAGGGTTTTACAGGAAAATATCCGAAGCCTTAAGCAAATAGTTTAAATACAGGATGTTAGGATATAACTCTGATCTTTTCATGAAAATTATCGTAGCCCTCGTACTATGTAATTTTTTTATTTTGCCTGAGGAATTCTATTAAAACCAATACTCCAAAGCAGTGTGTGTATTTTTTACTATATGTAAAAGTATTTTCCGATAAACAAATACGTTGCATATTTTTAATGATATTATAATATATAGCTTTTTGTATAATAACTGTTAAGTGCCCCCGCTTAAGGTTGCACTGATCCAAGATAAAAAACATTCTTAAAAATTATAATTAATATTAATAATATAACATTTATCGTCATCAAACACTGAAATAAAATTAAGTTGCTTAGTTCAGCTTTTTGTCTAGGTCATTGATATTTTGCTGAAGTTGATCATGCATTATTATGATATCTTAAGAATCGCTGTTATAGCAACTTCTTACAAATATTATAATTATGAAGCAAACAGATTATCCAATTAGTACAACGAAAGTGTTTGATTTGGATAAAAATATTTGACTCCCCCTAACCAATACAATCATCGTACTTAGGGCTATCTAATAAATGACTATCGAATTGGGCTGCGAATTTGAAGAATATTATAACGGACCCAATGTCTTCCGAAACACATGTAAGAGTTAACCTTTGATCGTGATGTCATCTAAAAATATTTTTTCTAAAACGGTTAAAGAACAAAACCAGATCTGAATTGAGGCTCAAGCTTCAAAAAAGAACCCTGTATAATCAATTGATTTTGTAATAATTGGTTAAAAATAAATTGTCCAATAACGTAATCTATCTTTAGTCTGTTGCTGGACGTTGGAGGTACCACACGGACGGTGAGTGAATTTTTTATTTAAAATCTCGTACATTTAATAATTATTACAATATATTGAAGAACTTGTTGTGTAATGCTTCATTAAATGTAGTTGTTACTTTCTCTTTGTGCCGGATATTATACGAAAGTTTCTGATATAAATGGCCATTATATCTCACTTTTTAATTATGTTAGTCTTACGATGGAACGTAGGTCGTAGACTTTGACTAAGTTATAGTTTACGCCTCATTTATGGAAAATTAAATGAAAAAGTATAGATTTTGCGTGCTGATAACTCACGGAAGACGTTTTAAGTTTAAGTACGTGCTTTGCTACCCTCTTGTCATTTAAGAATAAAAATGATGTATTATAATATCACCTGATGAAAATGCTAGTTGCACATATTCCACGATTTTGCAATGCAATGTTACAGTCTTCAGTTATCAATCACTGAAAATATCATTTGCGCCCGAAATTTTGAATCCGATATTTAAATAAAATGTATACAGATATCATTGTACATTAGGTGAACTAATATATAGTACAAAATAAGCATTCCAACGTATGTACTTACTACGGTCATGGTGACAGGATGAGTGCCAGAGTGCCCGGGAACCCCATTTGCTCACTTAGTATCTCGCGTTCAGCAATTCGAAATTAACTAAAGCAATACTGACAAATACACCAAAAAAGCCCGGCTATTTTATAGGAGTTAAAGTATTGTACAGTTTTGAATAGCACTCAAATATAGCTTATGGTCTATGAAGTAGAAGTGTAAATATTCACAAAGTTACATTTATGCAGAGATGCGTATATAATAAAAAGTGAGTGCTTTTATTGATATGCGTAGTACACACGTTATGAGTCAATACAACCTTATTCAGGGTCACGCGTTCAAGATTATCCTTATAGTAGCCTTATGTCGTATAAAACATAATTCAAACTTCAATCTAGTTTCAAGATCTGTCTTCTATCTGTGAAGCTTGACCTTCGAAGTAGTACACTAGGCCTGGGTTATCACTTTAAGAAACCGCTCTATATTATCTTTTGTGTCCCAGATGTCGTTAATAGTCGAAACTTGCGACTTAATTTGTGAGTATAAAAATATATTTTTCGGAATGATTTTGTGTTAGCGCACACATTCGTTTTTGCGCAAATTTTAAGGGCTTATAATAATTTTTCGATTTTACAATTTCCTCATAATATCATTTGCAATAAATAAGTCTTTAGACATATTTATCATCTTTTGTCCGGTTTCTCGAGATTCAAGGTTCGATGTACCTTAAAATGACAATATGGAAATTAGGTAACGGCTTGTATAAAATTATTTAGCTGAATTTTTTAAGTGACGTCATGATTGCACCAACGAGCTCTCCTCTGTTAAAAACATTATTTTCATACACTTTTATTAGAAAAGGTTAAATACAGACTAGTTCTTTTTTGTTTTAAATGTCACCTATGTAAGGGCTTACGTGATATTACCCCGCCGCCTTTGGATACTCATATTCAGAAATCTGTAGGTCTACCAGCAATAGAAAGAAAAGTCATATCTTTACTTAATTTTGCACCTCGTAAAACAGACTAATTATAATTTACGAGAAATCAAAGTAATTCAGGACCAAACAACATAGACTAGCATTAAAAATCTAGTATCTATAGGTCTAGGTTTTAGTACTTGATATTATCTATAACTACTGCCTACGTTTAGGAAGCACACTAGGTAAGTTATGGTTTAGATACGGCTTCATGCCCTGACCTTGTTCTAATTTAACTAATAGATTTACGGTTGCATTTTTACCAGATACGACAGGTCATCGTGTGACCTAAAAACTATATGCAATAGTAATGTTTGTAGTATTTTTATGCGGCGTTTAAATCAACAAACGCATCAATTTTACCTACAAATTTATATATTAGCTAAAAAAATGTTATTAAATTTTAATAGTATTTGTACATGTGTGTACGTGTACCTAACGTAGGATATTTTCATGAAAATAAGAAATCCCTGTAAAAAATACTATAATGCAAGCCAAGCTATTAAATGGTATTCTAATTTGCGCTGAAGTAACTTTGATGACATATTATATATATAAAAAATACGCTCAATCACGTTTATTTGAAAACCTATTCTTTTGAGCTTTTGAAAGTAGGTTAAATATAATCCGAAGAAGCAGATCACCTATTTGCTAAAACATCTGAGGACGACTTAGAGGTTGTAGTTCGCTGGTTTTTAATAATCTACTTTACATTTTAGTAACTATTATTTATCCACAAAATTATATAGGCATTTCGAATAGAGTACAATCTTCCATCTCCAATCCAATTTCTTATTTAAATTTGGATATGTTTATATTTGTATTTAAACATGAAAAAAACATGTAAACAAAAAGAAGCAATAAATTAAAATATTTTGAGCAGTAAAATTGGATTGTAATAAAATGTAAATAACATATAACTTTTATTATTTCTGTATTAATAACAGTTACTTGATAAAAAAATTGCTTTAAATGATATAAGATTTAAGTTATGTATCGTAAATAATATCGTAGACATATGAAAAATCTTGTTTTCTTGCTTGCTTGCTCAAAGTCGCACACACGTGTATCTTTTGAACTTTATTATGCGTCATTTTCAATGTTGACATCACATTTAATTTTAGCTCAACTCTCTTTTAAAGTATTATGGCGTTACATTAATAAAACGTACAAAATGATTACAGTGTAAACGAAAGCCTAAGGACTATAGGTATACCCTAGCTATATTGCTGTATCCCATTTAATAATAATATAATAATAAAAACTTTATTTATGACAAAAGGGTTGTGACAGAATTCATATATCGCTAGTCCCCACACTATAGGGAGGCCCTGTGTGTGCGTAACTAGAAAATAATTATTACGTGGTACATGTTTTAAACGGTTAAAAAAAAGATAATAATAAAATAATAATAATAAATTTAGTGTTACAAATTAAGTGAATGAGCGAGCGTGAATTTAATTGCATTAATTTCTCCACCTCTTCCCTGCGCTAGCGGGAAATAATTTATGCAAACAAGACACATTCTACAGGTATAGCAACTTGAGAAAAAACGCATTGTTGTATCTTAGGTTAAAAATCGCATTGGTTATATGTCCAGATTAGCTACTTTTATTGGGCATATAGATTTTCTATCTATGTGCAATTTTCTTCGACCCAAAAATCAAAGTGCCTGTGACTGGTCACCTATTTGTCTATAAAGAAACAATTGTCAATGAAACAAACGCAAAAATGTGTCTATCCCTCGGCCCAGGGGGCTTATAAGTAGACGACATGTACAGAAGTTTGTTCATGGAGAATAAAGTATAGACGCACAACTGAAACCGTGACATTGTCTATGATTTGAAAGGTTTGTCAAGCAACCAACTCGATTGTACAGATACATGTCTACAAGTACAAAATGTGAAAGGAGCGAGTAATGTTATAATTATTATAGTATAGTAACAGTAAGGATTACCCGTTCTTCCGTCTACGTAAGCTTATTACACACGAAATATTCAGTATAAATCATCTATTTACATAATTTACTTAGTACACGATCTCCGTGATTTGTATCGTTTGATGAAGGATTCTCAACTATCCTATTAAAATAGTTTTATATTTCTTTGTTAATACTTTTTATTTCTGTGACCTTCCTGTTCCCGGGAAGCCATAATTAACTAGACAAGAAGCTCATACATTAACTCTGTTTACTTTTCCAAAATTACTCTAGGTTTCTAACTGAATGTGAGGTAAATAACACATATATATTAACAAATCAACAAATTACTACATACGGCACGTCTGAGCCACAAAGTGCCCAAAGGGATATCTATATATATATATATATGGCGTGCGATGCGATTAAATAAGTCATGCCTTAAATTATGCCATTCGTACAAAAAAAACCAGAACGCGCGTTTATACACAAAACGATAACGAAATACACATACACGTGTATTTCTTTAAGAGCACTTAACTACGTATGTGAAATGTTTTCCTCAATCGTTGCAAAAATTATCTATAATTTTAATTTAGGTTCACAAAACGTTCCATTTTATGCAAAAATCACTATTTCTTTGGTTTCCATTTTTACGTATCAGTGGCACCACTCACTTTAGCGCATGCGTATTGATTATCTGGTTTTTGGCGCCATTCATGCGTTCTGTTTAGCCTATACACACTGTTTCGCGGGAAAAGTTTTATTTTGCATAAAATATGCAGTTACTGTAAAGAAAAAATATTTGAGTAAGCCAAATATTTTGAAAATGTTGACGTAAATTACTAAAGTAATAAAAATTCTGTAAATAGAATAATTATGTGATGAACGCTGTCAGGGCTTTGTTATAAGTACAACATAGTACATATTATGTACTCGCATCAGTAGGCTTAAACTACTGGTTTGATACAATAAGAAGTGATAGAATGGGTTATATATACATATATATGTGATTGTAACTCATTGCGTTACTGTTAATCCACATGTTTTTATATTAGTAATGATACATAAATACTAGGCTAATAGCGCAGGCTAATAGCGATTTTAATGTTTGTTATTCATTGACTTTTCCTCTATGTAAAACAGAATGATGTTTATGTATGTTTACATACATTAACATCATTCTGTTCACAATAGATTATTAATTTATAAGGTTTTTAATTATTATTTGTGAAAATAGATTTAATGTATTCTTATGGTTTGTATACTAAAGAAATTAAGACTAGACAAAAAAATGTTTTCCAGCAAGCAATGTGGGGTACAGTACTATGTGTGGTTGCGGCCACCAGCCTGGTGATGGGAGAAGGAGAATATCTGCTGCCAGGTGACGTCATCCCCTCGCACTACGAAGTGAAGTTAGCGTATGACGTCGATCCCAACACTAACTTCAGTTACTTCGGTGTCGTTGATATTTTGGTAAGTTTAAAATGTTACAATAAAACCTTACGAACAGTCAACGTTCGCCCACATGTACGAACTACTAAAAAACTATAGATATGCTAACTTATATAATATCTCTGGTAATTTGACAAACTAAAATGATACATAGATAACATTACTTTCTAATGAAATAATATAAATAAAATCATCGCGAAACAGAATACACAAAACTGAGTTCCAGACCTAGAAGGCTTTAAGCTACTGTTTTTTGTTTCATTTGTAATTTAATCCACATTACAATCAAACTAAAAAAAAGATAATATTGAAGCAATTTCCTCATTCAACATAAAATATTTTAATATTGGAAGGAGCAAGAGTTCCAACAATTTCCCCACGGTCAGTTCAAGATCAGATGCACAAATAATAAATATAAATAACAGCCTTGTAAAGATATTGCAAACGTTTCATTGTCATTTTGTTACGGTTTCAAAAGTTTTTTGGAGCGAACGTGGCTTGAATGGGACTAAAGCACAAATAATAAATTAGCGTGCAATGGAAAGTGGGTTAGGGCAATTGTATATTTCTATTTTGTGAATAACAAAATAGAAATATACAATTGCCGTACGTAAAATTAAACGTATTTTCTAGGAATTGTGTTTATGGCTGTTATCACAACGAATTATGGAATTGCCTTCCCTCAAATCGAACTTTATTATCTGTTAACTTTCGTCTCAGTTTTAATGATAGATTCTATTCGAAATTTATACAAGACTACTAAAGCTCACGAGAGACTAGTTAAACTAACGCATGAATATGTCGCAGCCAACTAGCTTAATTAGCCGTTCAATTAACAGCCTAGCCTTTTAACTAAACGGCGCCGTTTAACTAACGGCCTGAAAGATATTCGGCCGTAGCGTTTGTTACAACATTTAATAAACTGGCTGGCTAATGCTTAGGCCATTCGTACGATAAAGTAATTATTTGGCAGAAATAAAAAACATAAAAATATTTTAATTAAAATTAAATTTAGTCAAATTGACATTATTATTGTCACTACACTCTTTCATTGTACTTGTTGTTTTTCATGAAATTTTGGAAAACACCATTAAAGTTGTGGTTTGCGGTTTGCCGACGCCATATTGACAGTATGAAGAGTTTAGTTTCAAGATTGAGAGTAGCAGAAAGTGGAATTAAATTTAAATTAACAGTCAACAGGCTAGGCAAGTAATGAAACGTGATCGTTCCAAGTCATTTGCCTAGCTGTTTAATCAACCGGCTGAACATCTTTCAGGCCGCTAGTTAAACGGCTAGGTTTTTAATTGAACGGCTAGTTAAGCTAGTTGGCTGCGACTATAACAAATTTTACTTGTCAAAGACTATTTGTAATAAGAAAGAAAACTGCATTTAATTATTTTTGAACGTCAATTAAAAACAACATTTACAACATAAACAAGGTGCTCTAACCTTTTAAGGTCTAGGCCTCAGATTTCTGTATCCTTTTCGTGATCATTTGTTTTCTGATTGGCAGGCCTTCTGTGCCTGTCGCGCCGACGCCTTTTTGGCTCTAAAGCTAAATTTTCTGATTAGCCGCTTGTCTATAAGCATACAAAGCTAGTCTATGAACGTGACTAAATAATTTATGTGTCGTAAAAGTCGTATTTTGTATTATTTCTGATATGTGGTTATAGCTTAACAATATCTTTCCTCATAAAAATACAATTGTCCTCACTGTACTCTTCTGTAAAAATACTCATTGTTTATGGAATAAATGATTTATTCAGACATTGTAATCTGCGGTTGTCATATTAGGTACTTACTATTGTTCATACATACATATTAATATGCCTTTGTTAAATAATTTTGTTTTGTTTATATTTTTAATTTTGTGTTGAGGAAAATAATATTATTAGGGAGGTCTGACAAACATTGTTTTATGGTTTCTCGTAATAATCATACATAATCAAGGAGGCTGCGCTGAAATCTATTAATGATATAAATTTTGCAATTTTCGATTTTTACCAGCAAATTAAATAGAAAAATATTTTAACTAACGTAAAATATAGCAAAACGAAATAAATTCTTACTTATTACAGAAATTTCATATTTAAGTAGTCAGTTGAAAAATATTTTCATATGATATTGTGTAAAGATTATTTTTGTTATTTAGTAGTCGACATTATAATGTTCGGACAATATGCCGATGGACAATACTTTTTGTAAATCTGATAAAATGATGTTTTAATCAACTGCGTTTAAAGGAAAATGCATTCTACATTAAGATTTAGAGACTTATTTTATTGAAGACAATTTTATTAACAGCATACTTCTTACCTCTATATAACATGACGATATTGTACATAAACTTATGATTAAAATTATAGAAAGTTGTTCTCTCAAACATTGTTGACCCTAAGACCGCTCGCTAAGGTCACTGTTCCTTGTGCCTATTAATTTAATATAACTATATTTTGCAACATTATATACGTATAGAATCATATAAAAATCTTTTTGACTCTATTTTCGAACCTCAATAGACTTTTCGGGCGATACTTTCGAATGGATAATATGTTATATGCAAAACTTCAATTAGACTTTCTATTTTCGGTAATCTTTATGCAATTAATAAATTTATAGTAAAACCAAAATTTAAAAAAATACAAGGGCGCTACAACCTTTTAAGGTCCTCTTTATCAGTGTCGTGATCATTTGTTTTTTCTAATAGACAAGTGGGTGATCAACTTTCTGCGCCTTCGCTTTTCGCAATCTATGGTTTTCTCACGATGTTTTCCTTCACTGAACAAGCGAGTGTTAAATGCGCACATAGACAGAAAGACCGCAGTTTAGTGCACAGCCGGGGTTTGAACCTATGACCTCAGCGATGACACTCGCACCCTGAAGCGAACCAACGCTGCTCTAATCCGAAATTAAACAGCAACTAATAATGCCGCTTTATTTCAGCTAAAAGCTAAGCGGCCAATATCTAAAGTCGTTCTTCACGCTCAAGACCTCTCAATAGCCAATGAAAAAATATCTTTAAGGAGTGACAACGATGTCTATCGAGTGACGGGTGTCGATCTTAACGATACATATAATTTCTTAACGTTACAACTAGACAGAGAATTGAAAGAGGACGATAGTTACCACTTGACAATACCGTTTTTCGGAAACTTGAAGCTTGGACTGGATGGAGTCTACATCAGTTCTTATGTGGATAAAGATACTAAGAAGAAAGAGTGAGTCTTAGTATCTTTTCTATAATCACTAAAATAAATTAGGGATGAACAAATTTTAAAAGTATGGTATTATTTGAAAGGTTGATTAAAAGCTGCAGCTTCTCCACTGCACTTTATTGTTTATGGTTGAGGTGTTCACACCTTCCATTGTGTTCACAACTGCCATTCATGGCAGTCTGTTTTTGGAGAATACATCTATAGAGGCATTTAATTGTTGAATTTAGTTATATCTAATATATAAAATTCTCGAGTCGCGGTGGTTGTAGTTAAACTCCTCAGAAACGGCTTGACCGATTCTCATGAAATTTTGTGTGCATATTGGGTATGCCTGAGAATCGGAAAACATCTATTTTTCATCCCCCTAAATGTTAAGAGTAGTCCACCCCTAAACTATATTTTTTTTATATTTACCCTAAATTTTCAACCCGATCAACCCCTATTTTTTATTATAAATGATAAACATGGCAAAACGACGTTTGCCGGATCAGCTAGTATACATATATCTATCGAAAACGCTATTATATATTATTGCACAATTTTATTTTATTTGACTCCCCCATACATTTGATTCATCTACGAGTATAAAATTTACTAATAAATAATGAAAACAATATTTTCAGATACCTTATAGCGACACAATTCGAGGCTACATCAGCTCGTAAGGGATTCCCTTGTTTCGATGAACCGATATACAAAGCCACATTTTCGATCAACATCGGTCACCCTAAGGAATTCACAGCTGTCTCCAATATGCCATTGAAGATTTCATCAGGTGACAAGTAAGTAAAAACTTTGGCTTGGGGAGATAAACGGTGTCCCGGTTATTATTGTTAAAAGGTGTTTTTAATTGAAGTTCAGATTACACGAAAAAAAACAGAAGAGCGAAATTGAGCCTCAGTCGTTGTATGGTCACATAGTTATTATTAGTATCGCGTTATTTGAATAGAACTGGTTCATTTTGAAAGGAAATTTATTGTTAAAAAGAACCATATTCTTCTTAACCCTTCTTGGATGTTTGTTATGAATACACCTAACTCTTATGTTCTTATATTTAATATTTTTTTAGTGCCTTAGAAGACATTTGGCCATGGGAAGTAATGCAGCAGGCATTTGGGTAAGTTCAGATCCATACAGTTTCAATAGCTATAGTTTTACGAAAACAAATTAAATTTTTGGTATTCTTCATTCGGTTCCGCCTCAGAAATATTTTAAACATTAGATGCAGGCACTGCCTTGCTTGTATCTATCGACGTTACAACATACAATAATTCAAAATCTATATGTAATGCAAAAACATTTGAATTAACTTATATGTTATATAATATAAAAGTAAGTTACTCCAGTCGATTCTCGATAATTTGACACTTGTTAATTGTCATGTATTACAGACCTGTCAATTGTTTTTTTAAATTCTTTGGACAATAATAGAATGAAGTCGCTCACTCAAAAAACATAACAGACTTCTTTTCTAAATAAAAATTTGTGAATAATCGTATTTAATTGTTAATATACAATAATAAATCAAGAATTTCGATCAAACTCTTATTTACTTGAGGCCCCCCTACCCCTTGTGGTTATTTAAACGCTTGTTATTTTAATCTCTTAGTAATTTGAAATTTATTTCTGGTAAGTTTAAAGTTATCGAGAATCGACTAATACCATTAACACTTATAACTTTCTGTAGCAACATCTACAATTTGCGCCTGTAAACAGTAGGATCATACCCTGAGCCGCGCTAACGATAAGTTTCCAACCACTAACCTTATAATAGCTCTCTTACTTTAGGCCTTATGACCGGCCTGTCATTGATTATACAAATAGAGGATCCTCCCTTCAGGTCGTAGGAAGAGTATTATATCCGTCCTCAACACCAACAACTTTTTTATTATCATAGCAACAGAGGTAAGTGTATTCCTAGTTCTTAAATTATTTATAAATTTTACAGAAAGCCCAGAACAAAATACGTGTGGGATGAATTCGACAAATCGGTTCCGATGTCAACATATCTCGTAGCATTCGTTGTCTCCAACTTTGCGTATGTTGACAGTCCTCCTCAGTTATCCAGTACCAAGTTCAGGATCTGGGCACGGAATGACGCTATTGATCAGGTATTTAGATAAATTAAAATAAAAAATAAAAAAATAGATTTTATTCAGTTCATATGAAGATAAAGATGAAGGAATTGTCGGTTTTAAATTATAATAGAAACTCATACGTAATAAATTGATTTGCTAATGCATATTCACAATATAATTGATTAACCAACTTTCAGTATGCGAGTAGATTACGTCGCGTATGCTTTATTAACCAACATCAAAGAACAAGGTTTTTATTTGGACCTATATGTTGGAGAATCTTTGAGTATAATCTAGTTAGGTTTTCAAGCACTTGTGCTAAAATTCGTGAGTGTAAGAACGTGTTCAATATTACCAATTTATGTAATAGTTTACATTAAAATCGGTTTAGTAGCTTTTGAGATATCCACGAGTTTAATATAGGTAATAATTTTTCTGAATTGTTTTTTGAAAATACCTTACACTATGTTTGATGTTCTTTTCAGACATCTTACGCGGCTACAGTGGGTCCGCGCGTGCTCTCGTACTTCGAAAAATTCTTTAACGTCACCTTCCCACTTCCCAAACAAGACATGATAGCGATTCCAGATTTCTCCGCGGGCGCTATGGAGAATTGGGGATTAATAACGTACAGAGAGACTGCTCTTCTCTATGACAAGGAAGAGTCTTCTTTTATCAACAAGGAGCGGGTTGCAGAGGTATATTAATATATAGTTTCTTTATTTATAATATATTTAGAAAGAAAAGTAATAACAATTACATACATATTTAGCTATTTATTTAATAAGTTACACCACATTAGAAGTTACATAATGTTTATTTACATACTTAAAATTAAAACAAAATTTAATTACTTATACTTAATATTGTTAATATATTAGCTTAGGGTCGATTCGACCAAACTCAATTATACACGAGTAACATACCAGGAATAATCTATTCCATGATTTTATCTCGAGTAAATCCATAGTCGTTCTCCACTAATCGATAGTATAATTGCGCTAGGAATAAAATACGCGAATAGCAAAGAGATGGTGAACGAAAATAAAACTCGGCAAATAATGTTGTTCTACAACGGGACAGTGTAAGAGCATACTTGTCAACTCGATTTTGCCGTATTTAGTGTGAAAAAGTAGCTTTTAGGCAGGTGTCAAACGACAACAAAAAGTTTTTATTTGTTGATTGTTTGAGGCTGTCGTCTAAAAAGGAACTTCTGTTGAGCATCAGTTGAATTTCATTATAATATTATAGAAAATAAAAAAACTAAAAAGAAATAAATAAATAGTAAATTGTTTAAACGTTTCATTATACAATGTCAGACTATTAATTTAGTGCGTTGCGTTGACTTGAAATTAAAACACAGAATACATATTTGTGAAATGACAGAATCAGATGTTGGACTGTTGCGCCATTAAATTATTCTAGGAATAGCTGTTATTCCGTGCGAAACGGCGGTATAGTAATAATCCCCGAATAGGCCCACTGTTCTTAGAATTTGTAGTGGTAAACGTAAAATTGATTTCTCTCGATTAACTGCGTTTATTATAAGATTAAGATTTACTCTTGTTTGGTCGAATCCACCCTTAGTATATTTTGTAATATTCTGGAATACATAAAATTCTCGTGTCACAATGTTCGTTCCCATACTCCTCCGAAACGGCTCGACCGATTCTTATGAATTTTTTAATGCATATTCAGTAAGTCTGAGAATCGGCTACTATCTATCTTTCAAACCCCTAGGTGATAAGGAGTACCCCAATTTTTTTTTTAAATTTTTTGTTTTTTTTTTGTTGTTTTTAGTTTTTTTATGATACAGCATACAAAAATACTAACAACCCCTAATTTTCATCCCTCTACGAACAAAACCCTATTTTTTATTACTGTCGAAAGTTATTTTTAATTAACTAAAACTAAAATGTTTCCTAGAAATAATATACATGGCAAAACAAACGTTTGCCGGGTCAGCTAGTAATAATATACAATAACAATATCCTTACAATTAAAGTTATAAAATACAGACCGCAAAAATAAATAATAATTTTTATGCCCTTTAACATGACGTAATTGGCAACAAATTATTTAATGTTTCCAGGTTATAGCACACGAGTTAGCTCACCAATGGTTCGGTAACTTGGTGACGATGAAGTGGTGGTCAGATTTGTGGTTAAATGAGGGTTTCGCGACCTTCGTGGCATCACTTGGGGTAATGAATGTCGAACCCACGTGGCATGCTGATATGAGTTACGCGGTGACCAATATCATGTCCGTGCTTCACCTGGATGCGCTGGAGTCCAGTCATCCTGTGAGTATAATAATAAAAATTATATGTTTCGTATAATTAGTTTTTTGTTGTCATGTTTTGCTCTATATATTGTCTTATTTTTATCTGTTTTGGTAAATTATTAGTAGTCTTTATTAATATTAAAGATATCATTATTTTTTATTGTATTAATAATAATAATTTTGATTTAATTTGTTTCACAATTCCTTGTTTTACCGTTTTCTTTAATGCGGTTTGTACGGAAGAAATCGCTTAGTAGCGATAAGGTCGCCCGACGTTTCATGTTTTTCTCTTATCTTACAAGTTTCTTATTATATCTAAATTTGTTTTAAAGAGATTGCAGAATCAAACTTTGTCAATTGAATCAGAATAACAAAATTAATTTGCTGTACAAACATTTTCTCCGACGGAAGAAGTAGTAGTTCTAATTATGACATATCTAATTAGTTTTCCTGTTCGTAAGGAAATTAAATTTTTATCGAATCAAAAAAAATTCTAGAAACTTCTAGTTTTGAAATCCTGTTATCCACCACTGCTTTGAGGTGATTAGGTGATCAGCAATGGTAATGTTTCCGCCGTAAAGTGATCGAGTACCTGTAGAGTTAAAGACATATTCTATAATTTCTTATCTAATAACTAATAAACCTCAATATGAACAGAATAACAGATGGCGCTGTACAACCACTGATACCCGTTTCAAAAAATCATTGTTTCCTTCGCATCTTTGCGTTTTATATCTTGGTACTTATATTTATCGTTTTTTTTATATTAAAAAAAAACAAAAAAAGATCGCTCCCTCTTGTTACTTTATAACTAATAAAAACTATTGTTTTTCAGGTATCAGTAGAAATTGACAACCCGAAACGTATATCGGAGATCTTTGATGAGATCTCGTACAAGAAAGGATCGACGTTGATTCGTATGATGTCAATGTTCTTAGGGGAAGAAGTGTTCAGGAAGGCGCTTCATAAGTAAGTATTGAGTTTTATAATATTATTACGAAGGGATAGAAAAGGCTTGAAGCCTTCACTTTATTTAAATATTTGCCAATGTGTAATTAAATGAAACAAAATACAATTTTTACACACAAAGTTTCACTAATTGCAACAATGAACACGCGCTCAACACGTTTTTCATAATTAGTACTTACAATTCGTACTTTTATCTCTCGCGCGCTCTTGACTGAATTGACTGGTTAGTTATTGGTGGTTCAGCATTTATGTTCGCGTCCTGTCGATGCAAGAGGGCTATGGGGCGAGCATATAGCCTTTAATTATATGAAGTATAGAGCTCGACTCGCCTCGGTTGAATTGGCCAGGAAATAACTAAAGTAGGTGTTCTATGCTTATCGCACAATTATGGAACCTTCGAGCCTTTTATCTCGTAGCCTTTGTCCGTATCGCATGCCTTCCTAGAATGTTTAGTCTGGCTTATTACTATTATTATTATTAATTATTATTTTTATTTAGAACGGTTACTCTACAATGTTCCTTCACCAAAGGGGTATAACCAGTCCTGAAAACGTTTAATGAAGCCAATTCCTAAAATTGTTGAACTTATAGAATTTTTGTATCCGGATTTAACCCTCGCTCGTACGGTGATACGAGTAACATCGCGAGGAAACCGGTATCTCTTAGACCAAAAAAATCGACAGTATGTGTCAGGTATCAGGCTGATCACCTACTTGACAGAAAAAAACATATGATAACGAAAGAGATACAGAAATCTGAGGCCCCAGACCTTAAAGGGTTGTAGATAGAGTAGTAACATTTGTGAATGGTTCTTGACGGACTCTTTTAAGCTGAAAATTTATGGAGTCGTTTAATTATCATTATATTATTCCAGCTACCTAATAAAACACTCGTATGGAAACGCGGAACAAGACGACCTCTGGGCGGAACTAACTCAAGAAGTCCAAAAGGCTGGAGGGCTTACCGCAAATGTCACGGTTAAGGAGGTGATGGACACGTGGACAAAACAGACCGGATACCCGATACTTGAAGTCCAGAGGGACTATTCTGAAAAGTCACTGACCATATCGCAGGTATGTTACCAAACAACTTATTTCTTAAATGAATGTACTAGCTCTGCGGTTCTTTGAATTTTTTTTTGTAACACTAAGGTTTTTTTTGTAGATATTGATGTCTTCTATGAACTGCAACATATTTTTGCTCTATTGTAAATAGTTTCAGCGTACGCGTTGTAAAGATTTTATTAGTATTTTTTTACAGCTTGAGTTACTTTATTGGAGTTTTCATACGGATCCCTAACTTTTTCGAAAATTTTCTATAGCCTATGTTCAAAAGGGATAATGTAAGATTATAGTGAAAGATTTTTTAAAATCAGTTCAGTAGTTTTGAAGCCTTTTCAATATACAAACAATAATTTTTTTCCTCTTTATAATAATATGTGGAACAGCTTACACAAAATAATCTAAACTCGATAAACGTTGATATTTTTTTTTCTGCATTTTGATATGAACAATATCTTTATTAAATTATCTGTAAACAGATAGAATAGCCATCCGTAACAATAAAATTAATGAAGTAATGAGTTTTACTTTAGACCTTTTTTTAATGTCTGTAAAGAAAAAAAAATTCGAACCCAATTTGTCAAAACTCTGAAATTGGCTGCCCTGGCCTACTCAGCCTGCTGGTATATCCGGCACTGGATCATAAGATCAAAAATTTGCATTTATTTCCTCATATCGGCTGATGATGTCTTAATTTAATAGACTTCAAAAAGTGGAGGAAAAATTCGATGAGGAAGTCTTTTTAAGTCAAAATTCATATTAAACTAGCGAACCTGACAGACGCTGTCCTAAATACAAAACAAATAATCTAATTGTTAATAAACCATTCTCGAATCCACTTAAACACATACAAAACATTTCATGAAAATCGCTTCAGCTAGGAGTTTCATTACAGACACACGCAGCGATTAATATATATTTGTGTAGTGTTCAGTGGTTCGGATAAAGCTATGTTTTATTGAACGACATTAAATCCTCGGATAAAGACACATCTTAAAATGGTGTTCGGTATTTTTTTTTCTTAATCATATTTCCATAGCTACTCTAACTTTTGCTTGTCCCAACCGAGCTAAAAAATTACCATGTCCAGTGACTGCAGTATGTTATTATTTAGTCATTATTTATTAAAGAGTTTTAGTAACATTTAAAGAAAAACGACACCGATCCGAGGCTACACACACTGCGATGACGTCATATTAGGGAATGCAATCCCGATCGGGATCTCGCGAGATCTCGTGGCATTTTTCGAGATCTTTAGATTAGAGATTTTCGTTCTTAGTATATAATAATGTTGCGATTCATACGAATTTTTTTTCAGAAACGGTATTTATCTCTCGGTGGATCTTTCCGTACAAACTCAGCTTGGTGGGTTCCTCTAAGTGTTCTATGTGAGAGGGATACCATGGCTCAAGATGTTCAGTGGTTGTCAGACAAAGAGGGCGTTGATAAGGAACACAGGTATGAGCACGGCGCGAGTCCTGATGAATGGGTCCTCTTCAATTATAATATGATTGGTGAGTTGATATAATATTAAGTATATTGGGGCTTTTTCATTACATCCTCTCATTTCGTTTGAGTTGTTATCGGGTCCCAATACATTCATAAAAATAACATTTTATTTTTATTTTTTTTTGTATTGTGCCAATACTCTTATTTTGTTTTGTTTTTGTTTTTCATAGTAATATTTAATTAGGTAGTGCTGAGCATGACATATTCTCCTTTTTGGTTCAGAGAAATCGCATATTCCCCCTTTATAAAATCTAAATATTGGGACCTTATAACACCTCAAATGAAGTGAGACCATGTGATCCAGCAGCCTACTTAAATAAACGTATGAAATAAATAAATTGAAACAAAAAAAAAGTTTATTTACGCTTAGCTTCTAGAAGAACGGCTGTAAAATGCTTTCTTTAGAAAATCTACGACATAGCCAAGTGCTACAAATTTGCTACAAATAGTTTGGTTACATAATACGGACGTCAATGCCTTATCACTTATCAGTATCAATCAAAATTCCACAGAATGCAGCCATCGTTGTGTCCATCGTTAACTAAACCTAAATTCAAATACGAAACCGTGCGTTAAATTGTGTGAGCATTGCGTGTGAACGCGTATTGGACTAGAAATGCTGTTGACCAATCATAATCGAAAGGAACGCGACAACGCTTCGTCTTTTGTTTTACATTACCATCACTTTCTTTGTATTTTGAATTATTAATTATTAGCCCTGTTCCGTCTCATTTTCCTCTGTCATAAAAGATAAATATAATAAAGAAAACCACCCCCACCACACGGAAAACCAATAAACCCACAACACAGGGGCTACCTTCTGTGGGTACTATCGTTAGATCAATTTTGTCACAACCATAATATTACTGTCATGAATATTTTTATTATTAAAAGAAAAAACATATATATTTTATTAAAGCATAAAAGAAAGAATAAAAAATCAAATGGGCACAACTCAGCTTTCACTGCTGTCAACAGCAACTTTCAGTGGGCCTTGGACTTGCTTCCCTGGATTGACATGAAAAAAAAGTTGACATTTAAAAAAATCAAAAAACAAACACAATCAAATATGGAACATACATGAGACAATGCAACTAATTTCCCAAATCAGCTAACTGTATCAAGTTACTGTTTCTTGTAGCCCCATACCGCGTGAACTATGATGCTCGTAACTGGCAACTTCTGGTCTCCACTCTTACTAGTGACAAATTCACCCAAGTGCCGGTCATGGGAAGAGTCCAGTTACTGTCCGATGCATTTGCACTTGCCTGGACCAATAAATTGGATTATTCGACTACGTTGCAGTAAGTTTTATATGCTGTATTTCATATCAACGTTACAAATTTTAAATCCTAAAAGTAGATTTATCTGTACTACTATCTGTATTCTGTAAAGAGTTGATCCTGTATGAACGGGACAAATATGGTTTTTGAATGAAAGAACAGCTTAAAGTTAGTCATAGCTAGATGTAAATAGATACATTTTTCTTTAATTTACACGGACATTTTAACTTCATCAGTAGACCTAACATTATTTCGACGACAATTTCATGAAAATAGATTTCATTATTCTATTTTTAATAGAAGCCATTCGGACACGAGAAAGCAAGTCTATTTTTAAATAAAAATCCATTGGCGCTACAAAATATATGTGCCTTGGCTTCAGAGTACATCTCTTCGATAGTTTTTATTTTATAGACTAGGTGATCATTCTTCTATCTGACACACGCCGTCAATTTTGTTGGTCTAAGGAATACCCGTTTCCTCTCGATGTTTTCCTTCACCGTACGTGGGAGAGAACAGATAGACAGAAAGTCAGTTTTCCGATTTGGAGAAATAGCCAAGAAAAAAAGCCGAGGATCGAATATACGACCTCTGGGATGAGAGTTGCATGAAGCACTACACTATTTTTGACTATATTAACTTATAGTTATAGCATCTTTATTTCTGTTACAACTTCAACGTATTGTTTTTATATGTACAAATCTATAATTGATAAATTAGTACGCCAAATTTCTCATAGGCGCCAAATGTGTGGCCTCTTGTAATCGATACAGCAACGCAACTTATAATGATACAACTTAATTAAACTGGAAATATTTTAAAGAATTATTGAATATTAAAAATGTATTTATTGCCAATTATTATTCAAGATTGGCAAGTTACCTCCAACACGAAGACGACTATCTTCCCCTAATGACGGGCCTGAACGCGCTCTCGAAAATTGAAAACGTACTGAAACGTACACCTCACTATGGCGCATATCAGAAGTTCATGAGGAAGTTAATCAGAAGAACATACGAAAAGACAGGTGGTCTTGCTGCAAGGAAGATATTGAATGGGGATGATTTGAATAGCGTAAAAATGCAGGTACGGTCATATGCTGTTTAGTTAGGTAAAAATAAAAATCTAAATGTATAATTAGAAGAAAGTGGAAGGAACGGCCTATTCTAGTAAAATATATTTGGTGTGTCTATGCGCAGTCACTAAGCGAGACTACTTATTTAATATTTTATATCGTTATTACTCCTCTAGGAGAATAAAATGGTTTGTAACCATGGTTACGATGCTATTTTCGTAAGAAGAGTGGTAACCATAGCAGCAAATACCGAATTAGCTTTGGAAACTATTTTGTTAAATTTTGGCCTTATTTTGAAACATGGACTTATCGTGTTACCATATGAATAATTACTATGGTTTTAGTATCAGCTTATTTATGCGTCTACTTGTGTGATTACACTACACCTTATATTTTTACTGAAAAGATTCGCAGAAATATTATTAAGTTAAAAAAAAGGTTATTAAAAGAGATTAGTTTTCCTCGACTCTTTGGATTACTCTTATTAAATAATTAATATTTTGTGCCAAACGTACTCAGTATAAATTTGATATTCTGGATCATTCTCGCGGACTTTCCCTAAAAGGTTCTTTTAATTTTACCAAATTTTTACAAAATTTAATAAGCAATACTATCATCATTTCGTGTTTAGGTAAAAACCAGTTCAACAGCGTGTCGTGCGAAGGTGCCAGGATGCGAAGAGAATGCCCTACAGTTGTTTGAACAGTGGATGAATACTAAGAATCCCGATGAAAACAATCCGTAAGTATAAAATCATCTAACGGCTAACCGATTTAACTTTGGCGACTCTAGCGCCATCTATGCGGAAATTATCGCAACCCTGCGGTGACTTCCTGAAGTTATATTTAAAAAAAAGCAAATTGCGGCAATAGAACGAGCGTGGCTCTTCTACAACGCTTCATTTCATTTATGCACAAAAATACTATGAATATTTCATATTATCAATGTGGAACTATAATGACGTAACAATGTTGTAAATAAAAAAGGTTAACTCTGCAGCGATTCTATTGGATTTTTTACTAACTATAAACCTTAATATGATTATTTTTACTTAGTTTACCTTTTAAATAGGAACATACCAACATATGGGACATTTTGCTATGCTACCCTATAGAGACTGTTCACTTATCCAGAATAAAAACCTAATCACTAAATAAAACTATTTTTTTATTTTTTTTTATTTTTCCAAGTTTTATCTCCATAAAAACCTATTAGTTAAGGAATAAATACAAAAATCGAATTAGTCCAGCCGAGTTTTGAGCTTAGCAACATATTTGCGATTAATTTTATTATATATAAATAAATTCTGGTCAAAAAGTCTGTTCTCTGTGGCAACGTATCTTTGAATATAATGTATCTTTATATAATTTATGTGTTATGATGATTTGAATAAACAAATGCAGCTTCTATAGCTTTTAAGATAGTTTAGCCTCTTTTTATATATGTTTGACATTTGTTCGCAGTATTCCTTTAGATCTCCGTTCGACAGTGTACTGTGTGGCGATTGAGCGTGGATCCGTACGTCACTGGCGATTCGCGTTGGAGCGTCGCCGGCGCACGAATGTTGCGGCCGCCAAAGATCAATTACTCCGCGCATTATCCTGCTCCAGAGACATTTGGATACTAGCACAGTGAGTTTATTTACCGGATTTTAATGCGATATATATATAAAATATGTTCTTTTAAATTCCGTACGAATAATACCATAATAATAATAATAATAAATATCAGTTTTTTTATATAACGGGGCAAATGGGCTGTACGCTCATCTGATGTAAACGCCCGAACCCAATCACCTATCTCAATCCATAAGCCCCCATCATAGTAATCTTAATCCAAATGTTGTAACAAGTGACGCAATAACCCATCCACGGATTGTAATAGCCATCTGTCGATACAAGCTATCCATGGGAGGTCGTATCGGTGTCTGTGGATAGACCTTTGTATGAAAATGACAGTTGACGAAAGCTCGATTTCAACAGTTAATTATTTTAACAGATTTTAACTTACACCAGTTTTTTAAATAATTAAAAAACTGTTTGTTATGTTTTAAACATACACATGTATATTTTAATGTTATTTGTACGGTTTTATTTACTTTATTTGGTTTGCATTGATTATCAAATATGTGTGTTAACTCGGTAAAATGGATCGAGAAAGAGCATTTTATCCGTCGCCAAAAATGGATTGTCTTCGTAGGGTTTGGTTATTGGGATGCAGGAGATCGATCGACTGTCACGATCTGATCTCACATTGTTTTCAATCTGAGGATTAATTATTGAGTTCGGGCGTTAGTGACACCGCCTCCCATAGACACTCTCATTGCTAGATTGCTCGCAAGTGCGTTGCCGGCTTTTTAAGAATTGGTACGCTCTTTTGTAAAATGGACCTAAGTCGAATTGGTTCGGTTTGGTTTTTATGATTATAACGGTATTGAACTGATTAAATATTTTATTGTAGATACTTGGAGTGGTCGATTACTGACGGTTCGGATGTGCGTCGCCAGGACTCTGCTTCGGTAATCACATCTGTGATTGCATCGGAACTTGGCTATTACTATGGAAAGGAGTTCTTATATTCACGCATTGAGGATATTTACAAGGCGTAAGTTTATATGTATTAATTACTTATTTTTTTTTAATAAGACATGATCTTCACTGTGACATCATGGAACATAACGATCTAGCGTAAATTAATACAAATAGGTAATTTTAGTCTATCTTAATTTACTAATAAGGATATTTAACATAAGAAAGTGTTCAATAACACTGCTTATATAAACTATTGTTTAAATTATAGTGTTTTTGTTCCCGTAATCTCACCGGAATCGATCCTAATAAATCGGATGAGTCGTGAGAGTTCTTTTATTAATAAATAAATTTAACTATTGAGTATATTTTACTCAGGGTATAATACTTCTGAGCAGTGTTGGCCTAGTGGTTTCAACGTGCGACTCTCCACCCTGGGGTCGTAGGTTCGATCCCCACCCACACCAATGGATTTTCTATGTGCGCATTTAATACGTTCAGTGAAGGAAAACATCGTGAGGAAAGCGGCATGCCTTAGGCGTTGTCCTAATTGGCGAAGATCGCACGATGACACGATGCGGTCTCGTCGTGCGATGAGTTCAAACATACAGATTTCATCAGAGTGTCCTATATTTGAACCTCGCAAAAAGTCCAAAAAGTCAAAAGTCAAAGACCCAAAAAGTCGGCGGTGTGTCAGGCACATAAGGTTGATCACCTGCTTGCACGTTAGAAATTACCACAAAACAGATACAGAATTCTGAAGCCAGAATTAGTACTGTTTTGTTTGCGGCTTGGTTGAAAGTTTTTTTTATTGATTAATATATTTCCAGATTCAACGGCCAGGGCCGTCGTTTGGGCTACATTATTAAAACTTTACTCAATCAGTTTACTACGCAGCGGGAACTAGACGAGGTATTTATTTCGTAATCGTACAGCTAATATAAATTATATGTAACAAAAATCAATAACGAAGATAAAGCCAAAGATGGAATATATAATATATACAAAAAGGCAAACGTGTAACATACGGAAAAAATCAATAAAAATCATTAAATACATTTAACTATGTCATACCTAATTCTGCTGTGAAAGTGATACATACTATAGTGATACTCTATTGAATTACGACCTGTATCAATGACAATAGAAGTGATGAAGTTTTACTGAAGTATATTTATCATTAAAATCAATACGAAATTGAATTAAAAAAAGTAACGGTTTTTGAGGACAAATTTCTCTTTGCACCGGTAGAAAAGCTAGGACCCTTACTTTTTTTTCAAATTGTATCTATAATAATAAAAAAATATGTAGGTTTTTTGAAGTAAAAATACATCCTTTTATTATTTTTATTAGCAAAGTTGTGTACCCGATTTTTTTTATTTAGGTATAGCCTTCATTGTTTTTACTATGTGCATCGATTGATTTTTTTCAGTTCCTGAAATGGTACGACCAGAATTCCGAATATCTCGATGATGCGAAGCTGGCCGTGTCTCAAGGTATAGAGCGCGCTCGAGTCAACATAGCCTGGATACAACAGAACCAGGGGCTCGTCGTCGACAAACTGAGGGAATATTCGCAGTAAGATATTGTATTATTACATCGACCGCGTCTTAATTATAGATTTAACGTACTATAAATTATAATTAACTATTATTTTGTGTTAAAAAAATAGTTAATAAAATATAAAAATATGTTTACTTATTTGGACTCACCTTTAAAAAATACTAGTTGAAAATATAATTGTTTCGCCTATAAGCGTAAATAAAAATTAAAAAATATTTATTAATTATACGCAAAGACATTATGAGACTTATATCGAATCTGTTGATTGGTAGAGGAAAACTTGAAGTGAGATAAATAAAATAAAATGGAGATTCATTTAATTTTAAACGCACTTTTGAATTGATTTTTAGCTATTTTTGGCTTCCGTATGGATTTTGACATATGGAAGTCATACTTTGCGCTAAGTCTCGACTGTGACACTTAGTACCAATTAAGATTGTTGTTTAAAAGTATGTTGTTAATCGCTAAGTAGTATTCGGTAACAAAATATTTATTTTTTTTTTAGTGTTGAAATTTTCATAATTAAAAAAATCTGAAATTTAAAAATATTTTGTTACTAGCTGTATTAATTGTATCAATGTATAAATGTCACTAAAGTAGAGCTATTGCTTGTAAAAAAATTGTGAGCACATTGTGTATTTCGTATCGCTTATTTTCGAGGTTTTTTAAAAAAATAATTAGAACGAAATGTATAAAAAAATCTTTTCCCATTTGGTATTACACAATTCGTAAGCAAATTCAAAAAAATGCAATCTCTCTAGTTGTTATTTTGTTATGAATATAAAAATGTCAACAAATTTGATACAAAAAAACACCAATTTTTCTTTGTAATAGTGAAAATTTAGTTAACAAATGTCGGCTATTGATATTGTATTAATATTTATAATTACGTAATTAAAGCTTGCACATATGCATTACAAAAAGGTAGATCGTAAATACCTACACGCTATACCTTTTTAGATGCCATACAGAATTTGTTTCCAAAATATATTTTTTTGCCCCAACCTGCTTCTTGGGGGGGAAAACCGATCTTCATGTCTTCACTATATGCGATACATAATATATCAAGTCATCGTTTAACACCATTTGATTAAGACCAATTCTTAGATTATTTAGGAACGTACTATAAGCCTGGATTACTTAAATAAGCATTTTTTTGTATTTATTAATTATTCTCAGTTATAAAGAATTAAATTCCTCATTTTTGGTGCTTATGTATCTGAAGTTTATATTTTTAACTCATAAATGAAAAAAAATTGTATCAGATTAACGAGTAAGGCTTCTAGTACGCTCATAAGTAATGTCACTAAATATTTATTTAATTTTTTACAAACATTTTTCATAATTATTTTGATTTGTATAATTTTTTGAAATTGTTAATTTTTTTGAAATTGGATCTTTTTTGTGTACTTATTTTTTATGTAAAAAATATGAATCCGTCCATCAAAGGTTGTGTGTAGTTGATCAAGTGATTAGTAAATTTATTTATAATTATTTATAACAATCGTGTACAAATAAATTGTTTTAATTATTTTTGTTTTTGGTTTAAATGATGCCAAACATAACCTTAACATCGAGTATCCATTTTTATACCCGAAAAAAAAGTTACATTTAGCATAAACTTTTTAATAGATTTGTTAATATATATGTATGCCAACAAGCTTAATTAGCCGTTTAATCAACAGCCTAGACTCTTAACTAAACAACGCCGTTTAACTAGCGACCTGAAAGATATTCAGCCAGTTGATCAAACAGCAAATTACTTGGATCGATGACGTTTCATTACTTGCCTAGCCTGTTGAATATTAATTTAAATTTAGTTCCACTTTCTGCCACCTAGCGGCTAGCGCCGAAATCTTCAAACTGTCAATAACCGGCAAACCACAACTTTGAATGTTGTTTTCCAAAGTTCAATGAAAAACAATAAGTACAATGAAAGAGTTTAGTGACAATATTAATGTGAATTTAGCTGTGACTGACGCAAGCAATTTAATTTTTAAAGAAATATTTTTTGTCAAATGTTTCATCTTTTTAATTTCTATCTCATGGTCACTTTATCGTACGAATGGCCTAAGCATTAGCCAGTTAGTTTATTAAACGTTGTAACAAACGCTATGGCTGAATATCTTTCAGACCACTGGTCAAATGGCGCTGTTTACTTAAATGGCTAGGCTGTTAATTGAACGGTTTATTAAGCTAGTTAGCTGCGACATATATACGTATATTTTGTTCGTACTCAAACGAACGCCTAGTGAGCGCTGCTTAAGCTCTATACAAAATGTATTCATAAAATATATCCAGTTTAAGCCAACTTGTAGAGAATGGAATTAATATTACACAAGGTTGAAATACTTCCCAAAAACTTGGAAATATTCAACAACGAATACATGTAAAAGAATAATAATACCAGTAAAACAGACGCCACTCTATTACAAGTTTATCGTAGAACAATATGAAACAAATTTGCGTGTAATTATTTAGCGGCACTGAAGCATTTTAATATATAGTAGATGCAGACGCAGACGTATTTCAGATCAATGTATGACACTGAAATGAGAGGTACGGTGAAATCTCGGTGGTGGTATATACATCGTGAGGAAACCGGTGCCAACTTGGATATAGGACACTAAAAATCGAAACCGTCAGGCGAACACCGACTTGAGTTTATTCCAAAATTTACCTTTCTAATAATCAAAGTGATACAGCAATCTAAACAAGTGTTGTACTGCCACTTGTATGTTCCTAAATTCAGGATTGATATACATTTAGTTTTTACAACCAGTAGATCTACCAAATATTTGACTAAGTAAAAGCTGGCTAAAATAAGTCAGCATCCAAAATTCGTATGAGAAATCTGTCTTGTGCAACACCACCAGGGGCGCTATAAGTTTTTATATTTGACGCCATTGGCAGTTATGGTAGAGCTACTAGATTGTTTATTGGCGTAGATGAGATTAGATTTTGATATAGACATATTTAGACGGCTTTCAAAGGTAAAAAATCATTAAATATTTAATTACAGAGATTACGTTGACGATGCGCGAATCTCACCACGGAATTTGGGACACCCAGTGAAGGTTATTTCACATCAAAATTTATTCGTGTTTACCTTGTATGCTATTAGTAGTTTAGTATTATTGTAAATAATAAATACATATTTAAGACATTAAAGTATTTATATTTAGTTTCAATACTTCTGTTGGCAAACCAGACCGCTCAAAAGAATATTAGCTTTTCGATAAAAATGCTTTGGCCCATTTAACAAACAGTTTCTTAGCTAAAGGCAAGCTACCGGAGGCTTCTCACGAAACGACAGCCTTGTCTATTTTCTTTCTTATTTCTAGAAAAAAAAATTAACTTTGGAAATTAATTTTCATATACTCTAGTAATAGATAGATTCGACAAATTTCGCGGTGGTTAGTTGTAATAAATAAAATAACGTGTTAATTAAAAATACGTTTATTGAATAATAATTCTTAAAATAAATGCTTCAAATGGAAGTCGATGGCACCAAACGGTAACTTGTCAAGTGCAATATTTGTAAATATTAGAAGACCATAGATACGTTATGCTAGTTTATGATATAAACAAAAGTTCGTAAATTCTTTGTCTTATCTATGGTTGTCCTAACTGTCTTCATGTATGATCACAATTTAAGGCACTTTTACTCTATATTTCTATAAGCTCTATAATCACTATAACAATTGTCTATGTTTAAAATTTAATTCTAATTATAAACATACAAAAATGGCAATTATAATTGGCAGAACGCCATAGTCTCATTTTAACTAAATATAAGGAAACCACACCATAAACGGACCATTATAAAATAATTATTGTACTATGTACTATCTATACAGTAATATCTCAAATTTTGATAAAATATACAATCGCCTATACGTACTATACGTATATAATGATAGTAAATTTTAAAAATATTAAAATATATGAGAAACTCGAAGTATTACTCTATTTACTAACTAGTTTCAATTGGAGTATTTTAGTGTAAATTTCACATTTAACTTAGCTGTACATCGATTTCTTCGTTGATTAAAATGCATTTTTTTTTATAATAATACTTCCAAGTATAATTCGTTTTAAAAGCCTCTATAGGTTTTGATATGAGCTCGGATTCGCCTATCAGGCTTAAGCTAAGATTCAGGGACCAGTAATAGTTTGGAGCGGTAGGGTAAGATTCAAAAACGAGGCTTAGCACTACGCCTGTATCACAAACTTAAATCTAGTTTCTAAAGCTGTCAAACCATTTTTTCTGTATGAAGTTAGACTGACTCGTAGGTCAAAAATGTATCGGATTTTGAAATAAGGGAGTCACTAGATGTTGTCTCTGCTTTACATCCGATTACTAAGAACATAAACAACTATACTATGATCAAAAATAGCAACATAACAAATGTTACGTTTTGAAAAACTTGTAAAATTTACCAAAATGTCAAATATCGTCTTAATTTACTAAAAGACAGATTCAGTACTTAAAATATAACTGTTGTTCTATCATAAGATTTGTAACGTATTAAATCATTAAATAATTCCACGTCAAATATCTATGAAAAATAAATCTTCTCATTTCAAAGATTAAAGAGATAATGAAAATTACTTATAAGAAAATGTGAATTATTTACATAACTCGATATTACGTGCATTATTCAAAGTCGTCAACGAGGTTTTATATAAATTTTAATTGTAAGTATACCAAACATTATTAAGTTTCTTAATGACGATGAAACCAATTTTTTTTCTAAATATATAATTCGTGGCAAACATGAGATTGCGTAGGAAAACTTGAGTTTTCCTTACTTTACTTTAATATTGATATTAAAATGCATTGAATTTACGTGGTAAGTTTGCTTGGCAAAATAAATTTTTGTCATACAAATACAGATGTATGTATGAATGTAAATATGAATGTAGTGTTTAATACTTTATCAATCTGTACATTTATTTAACTATATGCGTCAGTTATATAATGAATACATATATGTATATAAATCTATCGTTAAATTGATAAAAATATCTTAAAAATGCTTACATTTAGCAATAGCATGTTTAATATTCACATTTTCAATTAAAAAAAAAACACCAATATAGGCACTTCAATATCACGATATTTATCAAGATTTCAAGAAACAGAAAGTCCTCACGTATTTTCTGTAATGAGGCTAGGCCTATGTCCCCGTCGCTTGCGCAACGTTCCTAATATCTGTAGCATTTCTTTGACAGCTTCAGGTTGTTCGTCCTTGGGTTTCTTCTCAACTGCGTGATCTGTGGACTTCAGCTGGAATTTGCCTCCCTTTATTTGGTCTACTATCGCGTCTATTGCTCCCCCTGAAAATATTTATTTATATTTACCAATTTTTTATTTCTTTTAAGATTAAGAGTAAATATTTATATACGCCGTATAAAAAAATTAAATTACAGATAGAGATAACGAATGATTTCATAACTAGGGACACCATTTATTTTTAATTTTCAAATATATATTAAAATTATATCAATATTTATTTAAATTTAAATGCGGCATTTATATACACCGAAGAGCGAAAGTATTTGATCGCAACAATGTATTTCGATATTAAGATTTAAAACATAAAATAGTGTAAAATGAAGATTCAGCTAAAGATACATACCACCATTTTGTTTCGTCTTCTTCAGCGTGCCTGACTTGCTTGCAAGCATCTTAGCCATATCCATATCACCCAAGGGTTCAAAGGCCACTGGGGGCGGGGGCGGCGGAGGCGGTGGTGGGGGCATAACTGGTGGGGGCGGCGGGGAAATGGGAATTGTGACTATCGGGATTTCCTGTGGGATTGGTGATGCTGGGGGAGTTGGAACCGGGGGTTTAGTTATTGCGGCTAGAGTTATGGGGGCTGGGGTTGAGGGGGCAGGAATTTGTGTCAGCGCTGGTTCTGGAATGCATATTAAATTATGTGAATAAAAGTTTTGCATTTGTTACCATTATATTTACCTATATGAAAATAACATCGTTACCATGGTAACAAACGCGGTACCTAATGCTATTTTTGTAATAACGCAGAAAACGTCTACCCTCTTGCCTTAAAGTGATAAATTAATGCGTATATACCATTAGGAATTACCCTCAAAACATTCTGGTCTTTAGATTTAAATTATTTTTACGAACATTTTTTCTTATTCCTTTAAGAAATATATAACGCATAAACAGTGTTGGCCTTTTGCCTTGAGCTAACGGTTCAACTCTGAGCACGATCACGGCTGTGCACCAATGGACTTTTCTGTGCATGTGTGAATTTAACACTCGCTCGAACGGTAAGGAAAACATAGTGAGGAAAAACATGCGTCGACAATAAGTCGACGGCGTGTGTCAGGCACAAAAGTCTGACTACCTGACCTACTTAGTCATTAAGAATTTCTCTCACAAATCTCAGTCTATAAAGTCATATTTTATCGAGTTCTGGAGTATAAATTAGAGGAACCTACCTTCTTCCTTGATCTCTTTCTTAATCCTCTCATTTCCACCACTTTCGAAGTAACTAATACGGCTTTTAAGCGCAGATCTCGGTTCACCCTTAGCTCTCTTATCGAGTTCCGCCAATTTCTTCTCAGCTCTTTCTGCTCTTTCTAACGCTTTCTGTGCATCTTCCTCAGCCAGTCTTATTTTCTCTTCCCATAGTAGTATGTCTGTATCTTCATGCTTTTCAGTTAATTGTAGCTGGAAGAAAGGTAGAAATAATAAAATGAAAAAATACTACTTATTAAATCGAGATTTCTCATAATGACCTTATGGTAAAAACCATTATTATGACTGTGGGAGCTTACTACCCTCAAAATACTTCGCCAGAATTTTTTTCCGAAAAATTTCCCGTGTACGCACGCAATACATAACGAAACAGAAGCATTATAAGTAAGAACTAACCTGCAACTGCTGAACATGATCCTTATGCCTGTTACTCTGCTGTTCCAAGGCGTCTCTCAGACTATCCACTTCACCTAAAAGCAGTCCCAGGCGTTCATCCAGATCCAATTCTCCCATCAGCAATGCGCTCTGGTGAGCCAGTACTGTTGCGCGCTTTTTGGCGTCGCGTGCTTCTGATTTGTAACTGAAATGAAAATACATATAGGTACATGTGTTACAAAACATGGAAATAAAGATTTTCTTTTACTATTGGATAATTGTTTGATTAAAATTTTGTCGTTAGGTTTCACAAATTGGTTAATAAAATGATAAAGCAAATGAAAGTTTTTCAATAAAAAATCCAGACTGTCTCAATATTAGACGACTTACAGGGAATTCCGAGAAGAGAGAGAAAAAATACACCATCACCTATTTTATGTTAGCAAAGAATATATACTAAATAATATTGAGTGACATACTCCGCCGAAACGGCTCGACCCCTTTCAAACCCCTAAGTGATAAGGGGTGTCCACCCCAAAAATTTTGTTTTTACTTCTTAGACATTTTTTTTTGTTTTTTTTTTTATACAGCATACAAAAATACACACAACCCCTAATTTTCACCCATCTACGGTGTACCCCTATTTTTTATTATAGTAGATAGTTATTTTTATTGAACTAAAAATATGTTTCCTAGAAATAATATACATGGCAAAACTACGTTTGCCGGGTCAGCTAGTTATGTATAAAAATGATAAAGGGGTTGTCATATCATCCTACCTACATACGAATTTTTTTTGTAATAATTTCCTTACAAGTTCCCAAATATGCCGTGGGTTCCATACCCAGTTGGGTACATTACTAGCCAAACCATTATTGTTGCGAATAGACATTTTAACATAATAAAAATGAAAGTGTTATTGAAATTTAACTGTATAAAGCCAAGGCCTTTAAAAGTTTTTTTAAAGTAGAATACCTTGTAAATAATCATTAGTTTATTTAAAGAAACCGTAAATAAAATATATAATTATTTGACATAAAACGGTGACAGATTATTCAAATTCGAGTTTGGATATAATTGGAACTCATTTTATCGTATGTGTTATTTGATGAATGATAATTAACACGTTATAAACTGGACGTTTGTTTTCGTGTTTACAGTCATGGTACGTCAATCGTCATAGATACTGGTGCGCCACCATCTTGCTTAGATAAGGGTTTTGGCGGGTTCTTTAAATTAAGAATGTTACTTTGAATTGTTAAGCCGATACTTAACAGAATTAAAAATATTTTATTATTTATGCAGGTTTATTAATAATCTGTAATGGTTTTAAATATCTTGTCAAATAGTCTATTGTTTGGCATTTCAGGCTAATTGATACATGACTATAAAAGAATATAGTCGCAGGAATGTGTACCATATAACACTGGGCAATAGTTCATTACGTAAATAATTTCATGCATTTATATATACGTACGTCTCGGCCATTTGTCTGTCCTTGTCAGCATTGTCCTTGAGACCTGTAACCTCTTCCATAAGTAGTTTGGACACTCGGTTGTGTCTCTCTATTTGAGATCTAAGTTCCTGCAACTCTTTTTCCTGTTGAACGCATTTTTCTCGTTCTACCTCCAATTCCTGAAAATATAATGTTTGTTATTTATTTTCCTTACAGATCGCCCGTTGCACTAAATCATGTGAATAAATAAAAATGATAAAAAGGTTTGTATGTTTCTAACGAATATACTCAAAAATACTGGACTGATTTGAAAAATTCGTTTATCATAAGAATGTTATATTATCCCCGAGTAACATAGGCTGTATTTGGTTTCCATAATATTTTATAAATAAATCTCTATTTCCGTTGGTCAACGCATCACGCGTGAATGGATGGAACAATTTTGCTAATTATTTTTCGTTGAGTTTTTTATTGGCAGGAGCAAAAATAAGGAAGTTGCGCGGAACATTCGACAATTTAAGAAAACTTAACTACGATATTAATTTTACACAAGTGTCAGTGAAATGCGAATGCAAAGTTCATTACAATAATAAATTAATTTAAAAAATTAATTATGTTAATTCAAATTCAATTCATAGTTAAGGAACACGTCTGTTGGGTCAGCTAGTATACATATAAAATACTGGGCGCGTAATATGGTGACGAATTGAATTGTATTGTTAATATTGTATTTTGCAGATGCCCTGGTTTCATATGCAAGATATATAGATGATAGAGTTTTATAATTATTTTAATTCAGAACAAAAATATTCAGAATATATTATCATTTACCTATAGACAAGACAATATAGAAGTTTAATAATTGACAACTAAGTATTCAATCAAATCAAATAAAGCATTATTTTAGGCCGACGTAAGTAGTACATATAATAGGTTATAATTATATAATTGATAATTTTATAAAGACATTTATAGATATGAAATAGATTATGGATGATATAAAAGTAGGATTAAGGTGATAACAGGGAAATCCCCGCTTAACAACGAAATTTAATGATTCAAAACTAAAACAGTCGGTGTATCACAGAGCACATTTTCGTGTCTTTTCTTTAATATTATATCGTCCAAAATCGAACCCGGAAACAATGTCATGTGCCTTACAAGGTACAGTTAATAGTATTTTGTACATTTTAAAGTAGTTACCTTATATATATACTATAATATATATATATATATATTATATAGTTATAGTATAGTTAAATCTATCTATAACCTTATCTTTAATCAGGGTATTCATGAATAGAATACAAAATAGAGAGACTAAATAGAAAGTAGAGAATCTGACCTGATTCAATTGCACATTGACCTCGTGGGCCTCAAATTCGTGTAACTTAGCCGCGTTGGCCTCCGTCTGTAAGGCTGCTATCTGCTCGGACAGTTCAGATACTGTACGCTTCAGAAATTCCACTTCTTCATTACTGCTCGCTTCAGATGCTGCAGAAAATAAAATAAAGGTATGACTGCAATATTTCATCATTTTAATACGAATAAATATGTATTGTTTTTGTGCATACCGAACCTTTTATCGCGGTCACATGTTAGTTTGTTTCTCATTTGGTTAAGTGTAGCCTTGTTTGTGCCGGTTTATAGATGTCGCAGCCAACTAGCTTAGTAAGCCTTTCAATTAACAGCCTAGCCATTTAACTAAACGACGCCATTTAACTAGCGGCCTAAAAGATATTCAGTCAGTTGATCAAACAGCTATGCAGATAACGTTTAATTACTTGCCTAGAATGTTCACTGCAAATTTAAATTTAATTCCATTTGCTGCCACTCTCACACTCGAAACGAAAATTTTCAATCTGTCAATATGGCGTCGGCAAACCACAACTTTGATGGTGGTTTCAAAAGTTTTACCATACGAATGGCCTAAGCATTAGCCAGCCAGTTTATTAAATATTGTAGCACACGCTACGGCTGAATATCTTTCAAGCCGCTAATTAAACGGCGCCGTTTAGTTAAAAGGCTAGGCTGTTAATTGAACGGCTAATTAAGCTAGTTGGCTGCGACATATATATTCAGATGTAACGTAATGTAATGTTGCATTAAGCTTGCTTTAACGATACTGATCCTATGTGATCGGTAAGTTTCACTTTTAGCTTTTTAGAACAAATGGCTAACGGGCGTATATTAAGTGACTCCGCCGCCAATAGACACTGCCAGAAGGCTCGCAAGTGCGTGGTGTGGTATACTTCAATTAATAATTTAAACATAAGTGGCGTTGCAACCTCTTTTAGGTCTGGGCTTCAGATTTCTGAATCTATTTCATGATTATTTTTAAATCTTATAGGCAAGTAGGTGATCAGCCTCCAGTGCCTGATACACGCCGTCGACTTTTTGGGTCTAAGACATGTTGGTTTCCTCACGATGTTATCCTTCACCGTTCGAGCGAATGTTAAACGCGCACATAGAAATAAAGTTCATTGGTGCACCGCCGGGGATCGAACCTACGACCTCAGGGATAAGAGTGAATAAATAAATAAAATAATTCGTAGATTTTCCTGGAGAGCAATGAAAAGAATATAAATAGAGTACATACATGTATCTGTAGCGTCTGTGATATCAATGTCAACGGTGGTGGGCAGCGCGAGCAGCAGCGCTGTGCTTCGTCTCTTCAGCTGCTTATTCTGTTTGTACCATTCACCCGCTTGTTGCATCACCCTGGAATTCAGGGATTTTCTCATATTATGCATTGCATATGTGAACAAAAATTGTGTATAACATAGTGCTAGAGGAACAACGTAACTATAATAATAGTTGAACAATATATCAAAGAAGCGTCGTGAATATAAAGAAAAAGTAATTTGTCTTTAAGGCTTTTAAACACACAATTCGTAAGTCGGTGAAAGTATATCATATAGATGCCTTGGTTTAAGAGGAAAAAAATACAGCTGGGACGTAACAGAGTCCCCGTTGTAAATTAAAATGTTGTTTTTTCTATATACATATTTTTCTGTGGTCTACCATATACTTAATGTTACTATTGTTTTATTATGACACATTGATAAACACAGCTTTTTGTTAATAACATTTTATTATTCATTTGAGTCATTACTCACAATAGTTTAATAACAATCCGAAGTAGTTTTCCATCGTTCACGCATTCGACACACATTTTAACTTTTTAATAAATCTTTAACGAACATAGTAAATTTTAAATTGAACCGTCGCGCACGCACTAAACCAGAAAACTATTTAATATTACAAGTTTTACATCGACAGCTAAATTGGTACCGAAATTATCATATTTAGTGAGACACAGGATGTTCTAAGCACGTTTTATTTCCTATACACATTTCTTGTGGGAATTATAGTTTTAAATATATTTTCAGAAAGAAAGTTTCTTTGCTATGTGCAACTTCCTGATTATGGAGTTGGGTCTACAATGGATAAATGTTACAAGAGAACAATAGTTTAAATACCAATACAGGTTGTATTTGGTTTATTTTTATATGTAAAACCCATTCAATACCCTTTTAAGTGTATGAGAAGAAAGAGACCAAAAGATTTTTCTCAACACGTTTCTTAATTCTGCGGTAGTCAATGTGTGTTAGACGCATTAATGCGACATAAGTATATTGATAGAAAAACACATATTTCATGTGTATATTATTTAATCTACATAAGTTATTGAATATCTTATGTTTATTTAATTCCTCACTAAAACACGCATATGATTTGAACACCCTATGATTTGAGCTTTCTAGACAAAATGTGGAACGCAAATTCGGTACATCACAAAATTATTTATTCATATTTTATAAGATTTATAGCTTGCGCAAGTTAACAGTCGCTAATATTCCGATCGAATATGTCGACATAAATATTAAGTAAACCTCGATCTATGATTTTAATATTGTCTCTTTATTATCTTCCCACCGTGGCTAATACGAATGAGTCTCCTAAGGTGGATAAAAAAGCCCCCCCCCCCCCCGCCCCCCCGGGGGGGGGGGGGTTTCCGGGGGGGGGGGCTTTCATAAACACAGGGGGGCCCCCCCCCCTTTTTCCCCCTTTATATAAAAAAAATTTTTCATTCTTACAAATATTTTTTTTATAAATTTTTCAAACTAGTGCCTCAACACGGGACTGCGGTAAAGATTTGGCTATTCTGCCTAATAATACGTAAAAATATGAAAGTAGGTACAAATTAATTTGTCGAATAAAAGAGGAAAGCAATCTCACTTATTCCTTTCAAAAAGATTTCAGTTAAACGAATGAAAATATATTTACTGTCACTTTCTTAAAATATTAATAATTAAAATAATGACATAGTTAATCAAAAATTAATTAAAATCTTACATCTTGTCCCGTTATCCGGCCACACCGATATTTAACCTCACACTGAGCTAAGACAAATCACCTAATTACTTTATACTTAACGCATCCCATGCATATGCAAGGTTCCTTTTAATCCTATGAATATGTAATGCAAGCCCTTACTTAATATTCAACCTTATTTGGAAGAAATAGTACACATTTTTCCTTAACGTTCAATGACGTATAATCAGAATATTTAATTCTCCGAAAGATTTTGCGTCATTCGGGACGCTTATAGAATATTTAGAATTTTACATCAGACGACATTGAAATAATGTATTTCAGTCACGTATTACTAATTAGTTAAATTCCAGCTAAACAATTAATAATTTATGTTTTGTTTCGTAAACATTGTTATTAAAAAAAAACATAATTGATAGTTTCATACTTTTTTATAACATCTTGTGATCAGCCATGAACAACAAAAAAAACCGATATAATCGCCTTCCCGTTTTGTAAAGCTATATCTCTGTTGCCAACTACTTTTACACGAATTATTAACTAAGAAATAGCAAACTGCTTTAGGTAACATGAAATTTTGTATAGGGTAGGAATAGGCGTACATATACGTTACGTTGATTTATGCCTTCAAATAATTACGTATACATTGAGATATTTACTTGAAAGAAAATCAAGCATCTTTGAGGTCCACAGTAATGGCGTGGCCTTACTTATTGAACTTCTTCCCAAACAGACGATGCCTCAATAGAATTAACTCCTTGAGTCCAGTCCTGTCCTCTTCACTGAATTATTTTAAAAACAAAATAGATGGCCTTATCAGTCTTACACACGCAACAGTATTTTACTGCTAGTATGTTTACTAAATAATATTAACTGCTAGTAAAACGCATTATTCGTTATTGCACATAAAGTGTTTTGTTAAAGAGTGTCAGAGCTAATAAATGACTAGTGTAAACTAAAGCTTTCAAGTTTCAAGTTTCAGAGATAAAATCAGTGATTTCTAGAAATGTGATTGCAGATATCTTGGCATTACGTAAATGCACCACAAACGCCTACATACTCCCACTTAGAAATAGATCAGTTATATAACGATTAAACAAATCGAAAGAGAATTCTAGTTACTCTGTATAACTCTTAAGAATTCCAAGTACATAAAAATTCATAGGGCCCTATTATTATTTTTATACTACTTTTGTATCGTCCAAGATTCGAAATGATATCGAATTTAGTTGCTAAAATGTTGAGTTACTTCAACTTAGATTTTGTTTCATATCAAACAATGTGATATTTTTAAAAAAGCGCCTTTCATATCCTTTTATTTACGCTGCGACCTGTGCGGAGTGCGTTGTCGGACTAGCTAAGTAGCACTCTAATTTTAACAAACCTATTTCTATTACAAAGTATTATGTGTCTTATCTCATGTATTTAAGTAAAGGATTTGCATTAGCAGCTCATTATAACTATACCATAAAATATCATAACTGAACATACTAGAACTTAGAAAGAAAATTAAGGCGTTAAAGAGGTAGTAAACAACACAAGGTGCATAATAGTATTAAGTAAGACTTAGGATTCAAAGTCGATAAGCCTATTAAATAATCGACACGGCTAGACATTACCTGCCTAGTATCTAGCAAATTATATTACTTCTAAGAGAATTCCTTAACACATTTGGTAAAAAACATGCACATATAAATTATGTCAATTCATAAAAACATACTCTCCAGTCTCCATCAGTCAACCAATACATTAGATATTATGCAAGCATTTTATTTGATGTGTTTCTAAAAGTTTATAACTGTCCTCATTATTTTGCTTGATTTAGTATGTTTAAAAACACAAAAATATGTGAATTAGATACTCCTGGCTACCTCCCCAAGCTACAATCCATTAGATTAGCTTGTAAACATGTTGACCTCATTACTTTTCTTGATTTAGTATGTTTAAAATATATGTGTATTGGACACAGGCTAACCCCCACAGACAACAATCTATTACATTAGCTTGTAAACACGAGCCAATGGAATCAAATAAGAAGCAATTTCTTTTGGCCTAGAAAAGTAACTGCAGCGCAGCTAACCAAATATTAGTTCTTAGAATTCTATAGTTAGTATTTGTAAATAAAAGAAAAATAATTTCTTACTTTTGCATAACCCCGGTGTCAATTTCATGTTGGTTTTTGAGCTGTTGGTATTCTTGGAATAGTTTCTCAGAGACATGCCGAAGCTTGTTGAGCTCCCGCTCCCTGTCATTGAGTTCTGCATCCAGATGATTTCTTTCTTCCAATAAAATATTATATCGACGTTGAAGATCATCATACTCTCGACGAGCTGAAACATTAAATAATGACAAATATAGTTTTTAAACAAATTACATCAAGGAGTTCATAATATCAGACATTTTCCAACCTTTGATTAACTATGCTATGTATAACGGGATGGTTCCAACTATTTTTTAAGTTTCTTACATAGAATAGAATATAATCATTTTATTACACAACTGTGTTGTATCAAATAGAAAAAGACTAGACTTGTTCTCATTACATTTGCCCATTTGACAGATTATTAAATAATGGAATATTGTTAATAGCACAGTAGTTACTGTGTTTAATGATTTCAGACATTAACAAAAATTCGGCCAGTTTGTTTCTGTTTAGTAATAATAAGATTTTAAAATAAATTTAAGATAACATTGCACATTCTATATCGAGACAATAATTTTAAAAATAGATGTTTAAAACGGACTGCAGAAGTATGGAAATAACAATTATTATTATTATTGTATCATATTTTACCTTCAATTTAAAATTCTATGATACATTTAAGAATACATAACATAATAAAGTAACTAGTGATAAGATAATGTGCAATAGTTTTATTGTTGGAAATAGCTTGATTAGACTGATATTGATTAGGATGTTGAAATAGTAACCTAAGATTACTGTCAAGAAACAGGAAATAAACTTACACTCCTTAATATACTCTAAAAAAGTAATATATTATGGTTTTTTGAATGTTTAATTTATAAATGTATCTTGACTGATAAAAACTAAAAACAGCTGTTGCATACTATTAATAATAAAATATGATAAATAGATACCATTACCACAATAAATAGTAAACATAATATTTTTGAGTTTGAAAATACTAATTATTATTAATGAAACAGTTTCCCCACTTTTAGAAGATTAAATAGGAAATTATTGCAGGTTAACTAGGTATGTTTATGGAAATGAATACTGATCTTAAAATGATTACAGTTTCTTAAAAATTAATAAGATGTGAGATTTCTCAAAAAAAATAAGACATTATTTTTATAATTCTTGAAATGGTGAAATAATTTGTGTCTAGTAAATTTTAAAATAGGTACGTATTTACTGGAATAGTGATTCACTTACAAAATCATACAACAATAAACTCAAAAATAAGAAGTGAGTCATTATATATCTTAGAACTTAATATTTACTTGTTATAAAAATGTATTGACTATATTATAACATATTATGTCAACATTCTTTTAGGATATAAATACCTTTTTCAGATTTAAGGAGATAGGCTTTATGTTTTCTTTCAGCATCCTCATATCTATTTTTCCATTTTTCAACGTATGTAGAGAGCGCGATATTAGCTTCTTTAGTGTTTTGCTGCGCATCGGGCTGCGTCATCCTGCCAGCAGTCGCTCGCGGGATCCTTGTGGTTGCACTGGGACAGAGTGAGACAGTACTCCGTCCGCCTTGACACTGATTATTGTTCGATGCGATCGCAAACACATTATCACCGTTCCTTTTAATCATTTTGCACACGCTCTAACTTGAGTTAATAATTTGTGATCATTTTCATAATTATAAATTAAATCTATAACTTAATGATTGTTTTAAAATGAATTAACACACTATCATCATTATTCCCTTTGTTCTTGCGGTTAAGGAAAATACGCACTGTATTAATGCGGCACTATTGCATTGTGTCATTCGCGCTCACTTAGCAACCTTGGAAAATGATATAGAAATAAATTTTAAATGCACGAGTATTAAAAAGAAATTATGTATAAAAACAGCACGACAAATGTCGATCAGCGGCAGATTGCAACTAACGTATGCTTGCCTTGTAGTTGGGAATTGTGATATGATAATGAGAAGCACGTCATCGTTGAGTCATTCAGTCTGATGTTTACGTTTATTGTTTAAAGTAGACAGTCTCCGATTTTTTATGCATGTTTTAAATTACAAATTAACTTTAAAACAGATTTCATAATTAAATTTATTCCTAAAATATAGTTTACTTTACCTAAATCATTACAACCACTTGTACCTATAAAATTTATTCGTTGTTTTTAGGTATAAGGTTAAAATTATTACCTTATTAACGATTTTGGCCGCGTTGTTTTTTTAGATTACCTTTAATATGCAAAAAAATCAATTGTTTACCAATAAAGTGACTCGCGTATTATTTTTATATTATATTTACCTAACAATTAATGTAATCAAAATTACTATTATTCACGTTAATTACCAATAGACACAACAATTAACTACAAACACTGCATCACAAGAATCGTTCATCAAACGTACTGAATGCATTTCATCCAAGAACGGAAATTCTAATTTTAACATAGTTTCTAGTGAAAAGGTGCGCCCGTATTGCAAACGACAAGACTGAAGCGTGGGTAGACAGGACTCAAATGGCCTGTCTTGTGATTTAATTGTCGCGATGAATACTTACGACGTTCATGAGCTATTGAAGACTTTATTTGACCACCCAGATGTAACAATCTATTGTGATATAAGCATTTCAAATAGAATTAGCAGCAGTTAGCAAGCTAAAAAGTAAAACATATAAATCGCATTATACTCAAGATAGAGTAATATTAGGTTACATACCAATGATACAAATGATATCTGTTTCTATCATTTGTAGCATATAGTAGATACAAATGATAGAAACAGGCGCTTAGGGATAAAGAAGTCACACGAAATACACAACGCAGAAGAAGTATCATTCAGGAAGATTCTTTATTATCTGACCTCGTTGGAACGATTTATACGCAATTTACAAATTAGAGTGAGTAAGGCCCTTAATGGCAGTTTAAGCTAATATTTCAAATATATTGAAATTAGAATGAGATGTGATGTATTTAAAATAATAATTCCTTACTGCACAACTTAATTGATTGGTTAACACAATTTGTTATTTATGTAATAGTTAATATAAAAACAGATTTGCCACATTTACTAAAAAACATTTCAGGCTAATAAAAAAGCGAGCCGTTGGGGCCGGATGGCCTTACAAAACTTTTCCATATTTACAAAATGAGGTCACGTTGAGGCTTACCTTTGTAAAGGGCTCCGGGTTCGAGCAAGGCAATCCGATTACCTCACGATAGCCAAATTGGTCTACCGACTATTCATTATTAACTCGTTACTCAAAATTCGTATCGATATTTCTAGTGCTTGAACATCACTACCATAAAATTATTCAGTAATAATTTTTATTCAAATAGGCTTTTAAAACAAAGTTAAACAAAGTCATAAGTAGTACATATCATAATAGTCTACCTAAGGAGCACTTGTCAAGAAGTAGATATTTTATTAATGCGTAACAGATAATTATACAAGTAAGTAAACTCTGTGTTGCAATCATATTTGCAATAAACTCTGATTAAAAAATGCTGTGAATTATTGTTCGTTTTATTTTTGTTACTTTTTTTTATACAACAAACGGGGACAAACGGGCAGGAGGCTCATCTGATGTTAAGTAATGAGGGTTCGCGAGTACGTTGCCGGCTTTTTAAGAGGTTTTTCTGCCTGAACTTTACTAATTGTTATAGTGAAGTGATTAGTCTAATTCATATAGAGTAATTTAGAAAGAAAGCATTGTCAAAAAACCCTTGTAATGGAATAAGTAGGTAATAAAATTCTGTAGAATTTCATCTCAAATGAAAATAACCATTACAAATATACCTTGCCCTCATTTTAAGTGCGAAATAAGTAAATTTGTGCACATGTGCGACGTTTATTGCTTCCTTGAACACATGATTCACGTCTTTGAATGTTATTATTTTTACACACTACGAGGATGAAATGTCGGGGTCATTCACCCTAGTTCTATTTTTACGATTTATCCCGAAGAAGATCGTAAAAGATGCGATTGTAAACAAAAATATGAGGGGGCGTCAATTGTATTCCAATTAACTGTATTCCATTGACTGCGATCGTAATTAATTTAACGCACGTAATAAGATAAAATGAAATCACAATATTTCCTTTCTCGATGTAGCTCGATAAATATATCAATTGAAATGATATGATCGTTATACAAAACATTTCTAAGGTTATTTATTTGGAAAAATATATTCAAGGATTAGATACATATTTGTTCTATTACTAACGAAGCGAAGTGAGTATGTAAAAGACGTAAGGTGAATTTTCATTGTGTTGGTTCAAATGGATATAATAGTATCATGACGAGTCATCGCGTGTCTACGCGTGTTGGATTAGAGAAACCGTTGACCAACCACAATCAAACGGAACGCGCACAATGTGCTCGCCGGTGCTTAAACAGAAATAATGATTCAGTAGCGGTACCTACAGCGCTTTATCTCAAGTAGATAATCGGCCATCTGTCAGGCATAGGCACACACGTCGATATATTTTCGATCAAGACATGCCGCTTTGCTTAAGACTCGAAGACCTTTAGATTATAACCTCATTGCAACTTTGGTGAATAGGTTTTTCTGTGCTATCAATTTTCTAGATTATAAGCCTTTCGTACATTTGGTAGATATTACGATTTTATAAATTGTTTACATATCGATTTATTGCTCGGGTTGCTTCTTTCGAAGATTGTGCCACAACAACTGCGCAATTATTTTACATGAATAACTTACTTAATCCTTTATACGCGTTCCCAATATTCACGTTAAACTTACATAATCATTGTAAAAGGTCGTTGCAAGAGTAGGTCATTCCATATAGGGTATGTTGACGACAATTGCGAATATATTCAATTTAAAACGCTGTTTGCAGCTGTCCAATTATTATGATTAGACGGGAACGGAGAAGCCATATCGTCATTCGATCTTAATTGCGTGTTAAAGGAGCGATTGTCTATTATTTAGTTTATCTAGAAAGTAATAGATTATAGATAGATTACATATTCTTTTTAGGGATTTTAGTACATATAAGGATTTTTTTTTATAAGTGGGTTGGTGTCCAAATATATAATTTACTTTTGTATGTTAATTTACTCTTATACGAGTATCTGCTGTCTTTACATAAGATTTAACTAATCTATACAAATCGTTCTACCTTCTCTATTTACTATATTAAGTTGCTTATACTAACGTAAAAAACTCTCTATCCATAGGAGACACAATCATTTAGATAAGGCAATAACCAATGTTGGTAGTACAAGTGTTAATTACATGCGTTGACCGAAAGTTTAAAATAAATATAACAGACCTCTAGAGTCTATCTGTTATCACACGTAGAAAATAATTTCGTACATTATTCAATAAAAGTAACGGTATACGACAGTACAAATAAGCATAAATCTACAACCACTTATTTCACCGTTAAGTTTTTAAGCGTTTATAATTAATCAATCTAAAAGTTAAATTACTTTATCTTTATGCAGGTGAGTGATTTCGATAGTTTTCCATTTTTGAATTCATCAAAATGTATCATACTCGTATAGTTAACACACTGAGTCATAATTGATAGAAAAAACTAAGTAAATTTTTGAAACGTAGAACAATTCTACGATGTTTAAATTATGTGCGGCTATGTGGATATGGAATATACTGAATGCCATCGCTAGCTCGAGGAATTGTTTCAAGACTATTAAACACTGTTAAACAAGTAAGTTAGCAAACAAATTATTTTGTGATAACCGTTGATTTCTCATCATGGACTAAGCAGTTATTCGACGACGACGACTAAAAAATTGCTGTCATAAAAATTTACCTAACTTAGATTTCCGTATTACGTTTCCATCTAAACGAGATTTTAAAGGTGTGCGATAAAATATGTACATGTGTAGGTGGCAAAAGACTACACGATCTAGTTAAATAATTATTAAATAAGAACGCAATAGTGTTAGCGTTGCATGTGATGTCGTAAATCAGATTCATCTTATCTGTATTTGATACGTGATAAACTGCATTAAATAATTTAGCACTATTTATTAATGTAAATCAGTATTATTTCTAGATTCGTTAAATATTTTGCTTCAACATGTTGCCATTTTATAGCTAACTAATTAAATCGAAAGGGTAAATGGGTAAGTATTAAATTAAGTTAAAGTTTCTATAAATGTTCTTCTTTTAATTAAGAGATTAGGCTATATTTTGACGCAATTTAACGTGGTTCACTCACAAGTAGTTGCATAACTATTACTAGCTCAAAGCTAGCTCGGCCCTTTTGTAACTTAATAATCCCTGAAGCTGGGCAGACTTGAGATATACATGATATAGTTTGGTACGTCACACTGGAAATATTATTGACAACAATGGCGGTGTTGTTACAATTAAATATGTATATTATGTCTCAAAAGTGACCGTTATTTATAAAGGAAGGAATACAAAAAACATTGCTATAAATAAAATTATAAAATAAGTGGCGAGGACTATAAGTTATTACAATACAGTAATCCGAAAATCAAATCAAAAATTATATCCGAGTATTATAATAAACGCCTGTTGAAAATGTCATACATCCTGTTGTTTTTAATTAATGCGTTGCTCTAAACTTTTAACAGGCTCACATCATTAAAAACTAAAGTAATTTAAAATATT